GACCGTGTAAAGTATTGATAATTAACATGATAAAAATCCATGAGTTTAGACTGGTGTGGTAGCACCGCAGAGGCCAGAGGATCCCCTGAGCCCAGGAGTTTGACGCCAGCCTGGGCACCCAGCCAGACCTGTCGCTGCAAAAAGGAAAAACAAAAAAGACTCTATAAGTCTATACTGATATGATTGAAACAAATAAATAAATGGTGTTAATGAGTGACTGATTAAATAAATGAAAAGGAAAAGTTTTCACTAACAGCAGAATGATAGCAAATAAATATAGAAGGAATGGGTGGTGAGTTTAGAAAATCGTGAATGAAGAGAAACTGGACAAAAAGTATCTTCCCACAAGTTACTTACTTATTAGTTACAAAAGGAAATGTTCTAACTTTGGTGGAGAAAACTGACCAACAGCCCCTTGACCACGTGATCAAAGTCAGCCTCAGCATGGAGGCAGGACGGCCTCGTCTGCACGGGGTATTAACAGGAAGCCTGGAGAGGCCACGGGGGCTTCCGCAGTGCTGCTGCTGCACAGACTACACCTGGATGGGACGTCGAGGAGGCATCAGACAAACCCAGACTGAGGGGGCTGGAAGAAATCACTGGGCTGAACTCGGAGTGTGTCAAGGTAAGAGAGATAAAGACCTCCCGAGGAGCTGCTCCGCGTGAGAGAGGACGGCAGGTGCGACCACACGGCGGACGGCAGGTGTGACCACACGTGCAGCAGGTGACCCTGCCCCAGGTCTTGTTCCAGGACTCTGAAAAGAGAAGCTGTCAAGGATATTGTTCTGTATTAATAAATTGTGCACTAGATAATATAGTACTTAATTTAGTATATAGATAGTGGATTAGATCATAGTATTGCATTACAATTATATTTCCCAATAGTGATAGCTGTGCTTAGGTTGTCAGGAAATACACAATGAAGTATTTAAAAATTAAAGAACCACTATGTCCACAACTTAGTCTCAAATGGATCAGAAAAAGATAGATAGATAGATGATAGATAGATGATTGGTAGATAGATCATTAGATAGATGATAGCTAGATAGATGGTAAGATAGATGATCAGATAGGTAGATAGATGATAGATAGATAGATAGATAGATAGATAGATAGATAGATAGATGATAGACAGATGATAGACAGATAGATGATCAATAGATGATAGATAGATAATTAGATAGATGATTAGATAGATAGATGATGGATAGACAGATAATGTGATGGGGCAAAATGTACCAGTTGGTGTGTCTGGGTAACACATTGCCGACAGTTTTAAAAATTATTCTTATAACATTTCCATAAGTTTGATATATCAAAATTTCAGAAATACAAATAATTGCATCCTCCAAAAATGGTGACAATAAATGAAGGAATGAGTAAGTCGAACTTGATTAAAAGCTTACTTTTATTTATGAAAAGACATATGAGAGCAAGAAAGCAAGGCGATGTCTGTGTGCATGCGTGTTACAAAAGAGATGTCCATGTAGCTCATAAATATATAAGCAGCTTTGCACCATCCATGGGCATAGAAAGTGGTGCAACCACTTTGGAAAAGTGTTTGGTGATATCTACAACAGAGAAACACGTACACACACACACACACAGAGTTGTGAGTTAGCAATTCCATTACTCCCAGTATAAATGACTGCTATGCCCACCAAAATACAGACACAAAAATGTTTATAGCAATTTTATTGATAAGAGCTAAAAAACTAGAAAGAATCTAAATGTTCAGCTGTAGTTAAATGGATAAATATGTTGCACAGTGGAATACTATGTTGCAACAGAAAATATAATAAACTGATTACCCTGCAAAAATATGAATCTCACAGCTATAATGTTCCTTGACAGAAGCCAGAAGCAGGATAATACATATGATAACAAAGATCTATATTCATATGAAATTCAAAATAGAAGTGAAATGAATCTTCAGAACAGGTTGTGGTGATGTTTGCTCCCAGGGCTGCTGGCCAGGAGGGAGCAGGGATCAGCCTTTGTGGTATGTGTGTTCAATGCCTATACCCGGGTAGTGTGCACACAGTTGTATATATGGGGAAAGCCCACTGAGCTTCATGTTTGAGATTTGTGGTCATTGCTTTATGTAGATCATACTTCAATATATAGAAAACTAAAAATAACAAGACATCCTTCATGTATTGCCATAGAATGGTGACATATACAATTAGGTCACGAGAACTATGTTTCATCAAGTTTTCATATTTCTCTCATCATGATACATAATGATTTCAAAGTATTCCATTTTATGCATATGCCATAACACTTTTGATAATTGCCTGTTCTTGAATATTTAGGTTATTTCTAATATTTCATTCCAATATTTTTCTCTAAATACTCGATCAATTGTCACCTCTGTTACAAAATCTCACCGTGCATGCTTTTTTCTTTTTTTTTGAGGCAAGATCTCACTCTGTCAGCCAGGCTGGAGTGCAGTGGTGTGATCACAACTCACTGCAGCCTCGACCCCCTGGATTCAAGCGATCCTCCTGCCTCAGCCTCCTGAGAAGCTGGGACAAGAGGTGAACGCCACCATGCCTGCCTAATTTTTTCTTAGTTTTTGTAAAAACAGGGTCTTGTTATGTTGCTTAGTTGGCATGCTTATTCTTTTGGTAGAGTGCCCGGTTGTTAAATTGCTGGGTACATGGTGGGAACCGTGCTGAAGCTTTTCTAATGCATTCAAAATGTCTTCTATCAACATTGTGTGCTAATTTATGTTCCAGCATGACAGCCCCTGAAGCATTCTGATTATGGAGACGCTGTTCCTCTCTCCCCAGCACAAGCTCTTTTCGTCTTCCACTTTCCAGTTTCCAGTATCACATGTGGGTCACTTACTTGGCCCACCCACATTGGTATTAATAATGGAGTTATGTCCCCCACTTTTCCTAATGGGCTCATATTTAATGTCCAACCATGCGGATAATATTCACCAGCTGACACCCGGGGGGTTGATGTTGATGCCTCTTCTTTCTCTTCCTCCTCCTCCTCCTCCTCCTCCTCCTCCTCCTCCTCCTCCTCTTCTTTGTCTTGCCCCTTCGTATTGTTATGGCAAAATAATATTCAAGGCAGTATGACCTTGTGACATAACCAATGTAATAAATGAGGCTGAAAAATCCAATCTAATCTATAGATGACTAATCAATGCACACATGCTTTTCAAGCAAACATCTATAACTCTTTTCAAGGAGAAAAGCTTTTTTCGGCAAAAGACCTTTGGTAAAAATTTAATGATGTTCATATTCACTTCATTTTCCTGAAGAAATAAAGGTAACTTATATAAAGGCACAAGAATTCCCACAATATATCCCTGAGTCTACTGCTGGTAATGAATCAGTATTCTGGTTAAGTCTCCAAACTTCGAAATCATAGAATAGACCAAGATTTAGGATTGCAAATAAGTTTTTCCATTGCATTTTGAAAAAAAGAAAGCTCACTTTCAAGGATTGCCTAGAAGGCCTTTGTGACAGAGCCACTGTTTAATCCCCAGCCTCATCTCGATGACCAGCGCCTGCTGCCCCTCCGCCACCCAATGCACCCACCTCAGCAGCTGCTTCAGCGTCCTGGCATGTGTCTTCTTGGGATGGTCTGCCCCTTCCACCCTCTATCCCACACCTGTCACCTCTTCGTCTGTAGAAGGAGTTATTTCAGGCCCCACCTAGAACAATGTTCTGTAGGAACCCCTTCCACCCCCAAGGCTTCCCGTCCTCCTCCCCTCATCCCCGGGGCTTGCTGACCTCTGTGTAGCTGTCCCATCCCTGTGACTGTGGCTGTTCTGTGGGGGTCCAGTCACGAAGTCAGCCTCGCTGGCCCCGCACACCATGGCCCTTCAGAGAGCCTCCCACGGAGGAGATTTGTCTCTAAAAAGATGCGGAGAGCTCCTCCTGAAACTGCTTCTGAGCTGCCTCTAAGGAACCATGTGATCTTGATCAAAGGGCTGCCTTGGCCTCTAGAAAGGAGGGGTGTGGAACGAGGAGGCCTAAATCCCCTTCCCTGTGTCATGGTTTCCAAGAAGGATGAACAAGCTCCCTCCACACCCCAACCCTGCCACGTGTGCCCCGCACCGTACCTTGGTGTCACCACATTTGAAAGAGCGTAGATCTGCCTGCAAACGCACAGGCTTCTGCTGACGCTGCCCTAAAAGTGATCACAGCGGCAGTCCCCACACGATCCGCCGGCCCCAGCTTTCACAGCTTCAGCACTTGACCACTTCACGGGGGATCCCATTAAGCTGTTGCTACATGATAGACACCCAATGTATTTTTACCAAATGAGTCAATTTGAATAATCTAGACTTGAGGTTAAATGAAAGTACAGAAAGGGTCAAGAATTATTAAAAGGACAGTTAACAAATGTTATAGAAATTCACCGTTCAAGGAACGAGGGGTGGGAGAAAAGGTGCATAATCCTTGCAAGCCTTTTTAGTACTGAAAGACAAGAAAGCTAAAGTGAAGTGGTCCTCCACCATCTAGTGGCCGGGCTCGGTAACAGGGAAACTCCACTCAGTCCCCACAGCAAGGTGATTCTCAGGGAAATCATCGGGTTCCTGAATCCCACGAGTAATCAGTGAGGGCTAGGTTATTTTTCTAATTATTGATTATTACAATAGTAACAAAAACTAGTTAATAGAGAATAAATCTAAGTAAGTTGAAAAGATACAAACAAACGATTAAAATTATGTATTTCTTAATCGTGTTTTGAAATAAAAGCTAAAATAAAATCACATGACCATTGTTCCGTATGGATTAATAGTTTATAATATATTTTTCTCGGCTCACAAATGTGCCAACCAAGACCCACGAAGGCCAGAAGCTTTGCCTGAAGCCACACAGGAGCTTAAGGAACTCACACGGGGTCAAGTAAAAAAGCAGTGGTGCTGGGATTCAAAGCCAGAATTACACAACTCACACCACCAACTCAGGCGTTTGATGTAATAAGAGACAAGGTTACGTTGAGTTTATTTATTATGCTTCATATGCTTCCAGCTGCATCTGAAAGGTGAGGGTGTATGGGATGGAAGCACATCTGGTGGGTGGACATGAGGACCACAGCAGCTGCATCTGGAAGATGAGTGTGCCTGAGATGGAAGATCTGGTGAGTGGACATGAGCATCCCGGGTATACTGAGTAAACTCAGCCAAGGATGCATTGCAGGAGGTGAGGAAGCTGACTGTGGTTTGGATGTCGTTTGCTGTCTCCACCAAATTCCATGTGAAACGTGATCCTCGGTGTGTTGGTGTTTGGAGGTGGCGCCTAGTGGGAGGTGTTTACATCCTGGTGGGAGGTGTTCACGTCCTGGGACTGAATCCCTCTTTGTGAGGTAGTGAGTGTGGTTTCACTCTCAGAGACTGGACTGGACTGGCTCCCGCTGGAGCTGTTGCAATAAGGTGAAGTTTCTTCTGCTGCTTGGTCCTCTCCGCATCTGTTCACTTCTCTGACCTTCTCCACCAGGTTACCCAGCTCAGAAGCCCTCGCAGGGAGCAAAGACCAGGCCCTTGAACTTCTCAACCTACAGAACAGTGAGCTAAATATATATTTTTTCTTATAAATTACCCAGTCTCAGGTAATTCTCTTAGCCACTCAACAGGGACAAGGCTGTGTGGGAGATGGAACACACCTGACGGGCCTGCCTCTGTGACAGAGTGAGGCTTGGGCAGCTCGGGCTACCTGCACAACCGTGCAACCAGGGTCCCTTGAGCATGCAGGCAGGCCCTGGGGATGAAGTGTTAAAAGAGACCAACGACCTGTCTTTGGCCTTGAACAATTTCGCACCCTGGGTCTCATTTCTTCTCTACAAATTCCCCTGGTACTGTGTTCATTTACTGCCTGCGCCGTGCTCCTCCAATCATTAAACCACTACCTAGCTGGTTTCCCCTAAGCAATCTGGGGTTTATTCTCAGCTTTGCAGAATCATTGATGTCCGCCAATGCTTCTGGTTCTCCTTCTTCTGGGCACCTGTTAAAACTGCACTCTTCTGCCCCCTTGAGGTTGTACAAGGGCGTGTGACTTGCCTTAGTGAAAAGTGAACTCTGTCATGGCTGGGAAGAAACCAGCAAGAGTGGAGTTCTTTGTCTCATCAAGACACCAGACACGTTCTAGACCTTTGCAGTCCAGTATGGGAGAAACCAGCCACATGTGGCTATTTAACTTTAAATTAATTAAAATGAAATAGAATTAAACATTCTGTTTCTCGGTTGTATTTGTCACAGGTCAAATGCTCAGAGCCATATGTGGCTCGAGGCTGCCATGTTGCACAGTGCAAATCCACAGAGCGTTTCATCCAACGGTATTGCATTCCACAGCCCGCTGCCCTGAGGAGGGAAATGCACAGAGCCTCCTCCTGACCCACAGCGCACATGTGGTAAGAGACAGAGCAAATTTATTTTTAAAGGCACTAACATTTTGGAGATTTTGTCAGTAACACAATCTATTTTATCCTGTGTGTTGCAAGTTTCTTCCAAATTGCTAAAGAATAAATGAGTAGCTCAAAGCCATACAAAAAAGATAACATTGGTAAAGTAATCATATTGGTAAATATAAAAGCCAGCATTGGCCGGGCACAGTGGCTCACGCCTGTAATCCCAGCACTTTGGGAGGCCGAGGCAGGTGGATCTCAAGGTCAGGAGTTCAAGACCAGCCTGGCCAAGATGGTGAAACCCCGTCTCTACTAAAAATACAAAAAAATAGCTGGGATTGGTGGCAGGCGCCTGGAATCCCAGCTACTTGGGAGGCTGAGGCAGGAGAATCGCTTAAACTCGGAGGGTGGAGGTTGCAATGAGCTGAGATCACACCACTGCACTCCAGCCTGGGCGAGAGAGTAAGACTCAGGTCTCAAAAAAAAAAAAAAAAAAAAAAAAAAGGCCAGCATCATTGTATTTTTGTTTGTAACTCCCTCTTTTCTTTCCTACATAACTTGAAAAGCATAGATGAGAGTTTTAGAGACTAGAGAAGCAGCTGCACATTCTGGACCCCTGGTGATACAGGTGCCCAGAGTGTGGAGATGAACTAGACGTGGCTCCGTCAAAACCCAAAGCCATGCAATGCTTTGTAAAAATGTTTCTCTGGAATTAGGTTTTAGAATATAAAGCAAGAATTATCTGGAGCCAGCACCATTTACACATGTACCTCTTTCCGCCATGATCTTGTCTGTCCAGCTATTACTAAAACCGGGGAGGGGATACACCACACAAGGGCATCCTTTGTGACAGTAACATCAGGGTGTAGAGCTGTGTAGGAGCAGAGTCTATCTGCTTCTGAAGCTATGCTGGATCAATTCAAAATAGATTGCTGTAAGATTAGAATGTTAATTCTAATGTCAAAGGTAAACATAAAGAAAATAACTAAAAAGTGTATACAGACGGGAAATTAGTCAAGGATCAAAGGAGTAGAGTATGTCAATCAAATACAAAAATAAGGCTGTATAAGGGGAATCATGAACAACAAAGAAGACATGAAAACAAATAGAAAAATGGCAGAAGATCCTTCTTGTCGTCAATTACTTTAAACATAGAAGCATCAAACTCACTGGCTAAGGTACAAACTTGGCAAAATTTTTAAAATGACCTAATAATCACAAGATTTTCTTTAGAGCCAAAGGAATAGGTAGGGTGAGGGGGATGGCGGAGAAGCCGTCCTGCAGAAGATACCGGGAAAGAGCTGGGGGGCAACACCAGGACCTGAAAAACAGACTTTAAGTCAAAAAGGGTCACAAGAGATGAAGAATAATTGATAAAACGGCTTATTGATCTAGAAGATAGAAAAATTAAAAGCAAATATACATCAAACAGAAAACCCCACACTATATGAAGGAAACATTGACAGAATGGAAAGGAGAGCTCATAAAAATGTCAATGTTCACTTCAGTAATGACAAGAACAATATTCAGAGGAGTGGTAATGACCTAGACGCCGGCCGCAGAAAACTCCACCCACCAGCTGCAGAACTGACATTCATCTCAAGTGCGCACGGAACATTCTCCAGCATAGAACAGATGTTAGTCTGTGAGACAAGCCTCGACAAATGTGAAAAGACTGAATTCATACAGAGCCTTTTCTCTGATCACCAATAGAATGAAGAAATTTACAAACATATAAAAATTAAGCAACACACTCCTCAGCAACTAATTTGTAAAAGAAAAAAAATTGCAAGGGAAATTAGAAAGTACTTTGAGATAAATGCAAACAAAACCAAGGTTTACTAAAACTTATGATCTGAAAAGAAAGCAACCTTCAAAAAGAGATTTATAGGTAAAAAGGCCTAAAGTTAAAAAAAATAAAAGATCTCAGTTGGTAGCCTAACCTTACTAGCAAAAGAAGAGCAAACTAAACCCAAAGTTACCAGAGGTGTGGAGATGCTGAAGGTTACAATGGTGATCATCAAAGTAGATGAGAGAAAAAAAATAGAATCAATAAAACCAAACACTACATTTTTTTGAATAAACAAAACTGTCAAACCCTTAACTCATTGACTAAAAAAGGAGAGATGGTGTAAATAGCCAAATTCAGAAATAAAAGTGGGTACATTACTACAACCCTTACAGATGTTGAAAGGATCGTAAGAGAATGCTGGAAACAGTTGTATGCCAACAAATTAGGTGACCTTGGGAAATGGAAAGAGTCCTGGGGACAGAAATTACCAAGCCCCACTCAAGAAGAAATAAAAATCTGAACAGACCTATAAAGAGTAAACAAATTGATTCAGTCTTCAAAAATTCCTCAATAAGCAAAAGGCCAGGACCAGATGGCTTTATTGGCTAGTTCTAGAAATCATTGAAATAATACCAATCCTCAAAACAAAGTACTCTCCTTCCAGAATACACCCAAGGAGAGAACACTTCCTAACCCATCTTGTGAAGCCATCATTACACTAACACCAAAGCAAGACAAGACACAACAGGAAAAGAAAACTGCCAACCAGTGTCTCTTAATGTAAATACTCGTAAACTCTACAACAACAAAGGCAGCAATCCAAGTTCAACAACATGTTAAAGGGATTATACACCCTGCACAAGTGTGATAGATGCCAGAAATGCAAGTGAGGTTCAGCCTCAGAAAATCGATGAATGTAACACATTACATTAAAAAAAGAAGAAAATAATAATCTTGATGTAGAAAAAACATTTGACAAAATTCAATATTATAAAAACACTCAGCTAACCATGGAAGGAGGTCTCTCTTCCTTGGCCCAAAAATATCCTTTTGGGGCTGTGAAAATGTAGATACAACCACTCCGGACACAAGCTGATAGTTGCTAAAGCTGGAGTTAGACACATAGGAGTTTACTATGCTTCTGTCTACTCTCATGTTCTTGAAATTTTTTGTCATAAATGCTTACATCATCACGTGTAAAAGATATATTACTTTGACTACTTTCATCAGAATTACAGGTCTTTATATTCTCAGTACACCTAAGTCATCACAGGATAAATTTGCCTTCCATTTTATGTCAGGTCATTCAGCAAAATGTACATTAAGTGCCAGTCCTTGGGCTAATGCATAAGCAATGTGTGAGAACACTGTCTTAGTGAATTTGAGCTTCTCTAAGAAAATTCCATAAACGAGATGGCCTGTTCTCCCAGTTCTGGAGGCCGGAGGTTCGAGATCGAGACAGTGGTGCATCTGCTGTCGGGTGAGGGCCGCTTTCTGGTTTCCGGACAGTGCCTTTTTCCTGTGTCCTCACATAGCAGAAGAGACGGGGTACTCTCTGGGTCCCTTTCATAAGGGCACTAATCTTATCATGATGATTCATGAGGCTCCACCTGCAAAACCTAATCACCTCCCAAATGTCCCACACCTCCCAATACCATCACTTTGACCATTAGGTTTCCAACTGTGGATTTAGGGGACACATTCGGTCTATGGCAGGTACACATGGAGATGATTCTTGAATTTGAGCTTCAATCTATTAGGGTAGGAAAAAAAGCAATGAAAATATGATATAAATATACTTCACACACACACACCCACACACACACACACAAATTTTCATACCCAGTAAGACAGCTAATGTTTAAAAACATACAGACAAAACATAAGATAACAAGCATTTGTTGGGTTGTGGAGGAATCAGGACAATTAAGCATTCATGGTAGAAACACAATACAGTGCAGTCACTAAGGGAACTGTGTGAAGAGGAATATAATATAGTTGGTCACTGTGGGGAACTGTATGGAGAGGAATATAATATAGTGTGTTCACTATGGAGAACTGTATGGAGAGGAATATAATATAGTTGGTCACTGTGGAGAAGTATATGGAGAGGAATATAACATAGTGTGTTCACTATGGAGAACTGTATGGAGAGGAATATAACATAGCACGGTCACTGTAGGGAAATGTATGGAGAGGAATATAATATAGTGTGGTCACTGTGATAACTGTATGGAGAGGAATATAATATAGTGTGGTCACTATGGAGTACTGTATGGAGAGGAATATAATATAGTGTGGTCACTGGGGAGAACTGTGTGAAGACTCCTCAAAAATAGCAGAAGAGACTAAAAACTAAACAGAATTACCTCAAAAAACTAAACAGAATTACCATATGACCAGCGATTCCACTTCTGGGTATATTCTAACAAACAGAAATGAAAAACGAAGACTGGGATTCAGATAGGAGGGATCCGTGCACCACTGCTCCTGGCAGCACCACGCAGAATAGTGGAAACCTGGAATCAACCCAGAAGCCATTGCTGGATGAACGAGTAAACACGGTGTGGGGCACACAGATGGTGAAATGTTATCCAGCCTTAAAAAGCAGGGCAATGCTGGCACCTACTTCCACATGGCTTCAACCCAAAAACATGGAAAACATTATGCCAAGTCACAAAAAGACAAACGCTGCAGGATTTCACGTCTGCGAGGAATCTACAGCAGTGAAGTTTCCAGAGACTGAAGGTAAAGCGAGGGCTTCCGGGCTGCGGGGCGGCAGGGGGCGCTGTCGTTTAACGGGTGCGGCGTTTCCGGGGGAGAAGGTGGACCGTTCTGGAGATGGAAGAGGTGTCCGCGGCACCACAGCGTGAATGTGCTTATTGTCACTGAACAGTGCACTTCAAAATTGTTAAAATGGGCAATGTGTGTATTTTACACGACAGTGTGTATAAAAATGCAGCATGGAATCTGCTGATGGTAAAGGAATGCTCAGGGCTGACAGGAAGGACGAACAGGAAGACGCCTCAGAACAGACACTGCCACTCATGTGAGACGACACAGCAGCAGGCCCAGCGCCGTCTGGAAGAAAGACCGAGCCAGGAAGGGAGGAAAGAGGATTTCCGTCCAGAGCCGCGACACACAGCCCCGTATCTCTCCAGCGGGGCTCAGCCACAGGCTGCGCCAGGCCAAAGCTGCTGTCTCCATTCCAGGTTTTGCTCAGGGGACATGGCCCCGTCTGGTACTGTGGGTTCCCTGCACCGTCTCCCCTCTAACCCCCGCCCGAGGCTCATCACCTCGACTTGGCTTTCGGCACTGTGCTAGGCGCTGCTTGTGCTAAGAAAACCCCGTTCTGGGATCTGAAACTGTGGTCGTTCCCACCCGTGATTTGCAGTTAGACGCTGACTGGCCTCTCCCCATCACCCAGGAGGAGGCTTGGAGATTCCTGCCTGCCCCGGAAGCCACGAGCAGCTCCCAGGCAGGACTCGGAGCTCAGTCCAGGCTTTTCCTTCATGGACTCGTTTGCGTGTGAGACGCGTGTGTGCACCCACTCAGGGCTCACAGTGTGCACCCACCCACTCAGGGTCATACGGGCTCAGCGTAGGGGATCCAGAGGAGGAAGATCTTCCCCGGAGGACTCTCATTGTTCCTACAAGATAACAGAAGCCCATAAGCTGCAAAAATGAGATTCAAAGCCAGGTCAGAATGAGTTTAACTGATGTCCTTTCCACCACTAGTTTTCAAGAACTGAGCATTCTGTGATCTATGAATGAACAGCTTGTAATACAGGCACGTAAATATTTGGGCCTGTTGAAGGGACGCGCACCTTAAGCATATTTATCTATGCATACACATATCTTTAACTGGATGATTAATGCTCTAGTTATGGCATGAAATAGCCTTAGATTTTATGTTTTCATCAGCATTTTAGAAACTTTATGTTGTATTTATCATTAGAAATCATGATGCCAAACTATCCTTATGAAATGAACATTGTACTTACTATTTGTCAAATTGCTTCAGCAACACTGAAGATGTAATTATTGGAATCACATATTGGAAAAAAATACGTGATTGCAAAGAGACAGGACAAAGGGAGGTAGCTGAAGGCAGAAAGGTCACTGCGATTTTCTCAAGTCTTGCCGATAGACTGAAAATGGAGGAAAAGAACACATTTCATTCTGGCTAGTATCAGCCGACATCCTGACGTCAGGAGAAACACGCTTTTAAGTCTGATGCTATTTAGCTTTTCAGCAGGCAAACTCCTTCAAAAGCATTCGAAGGTTCAGCACACATATTGAATTTTAGATACCTCTCAAAACTGTCTGAAAAATAAATCTGTTTTTCTATGATAAGATTCAGCTGGTGATTTGTTAAACAATGTTTCAGGGGCTGAATTCCTGCCACATTAAACATGATGTTTCCCTTGTTATCTAGAATGTCTTTAAGAAATTCCACTATCAGTTTATAAATTTCTCAGCTAGCCCATTGAAAGAGCCAGAGAAATTAAATGATCCTTCACTCTGTTGAGAAAAGAAAACCTATGGGTATGATTGAGTTCAGAAAGTACCTATCTCCTCAAATTTTCTTCTAAATATGTTTTGAAAAAGTAAAAATGTAGTAGCATGAAAGAGCTAATGTAAAAATAATGGTAAAATGTAAGAAAATTTATATTTTCTGCATGGAAAAATAACTGATTTTAATTGTTGACAGTGACGATGGAAGAACAAGACGAAAATTATCCTGGTAGTGAATTAGAAATCAGTAGATAGGAGCTGTACATTCTAGACATGGCCAAGTGATCAGGAGACCAGAGCTGGACAGGAGGCTTCCACAGCAATGGGAGTGACTTTTAGGGGTGCATTTCGGCGGAGCAGAGCAAGCAGAAGTCACCACAGTGACCCCAGGAGAGGGAGGGGAGAAGATTACATCCATGGGATGAAGCCTGCAGAGCCCAACTTTCTGAACAAGGGGAAATACATTCTGCCATTGTCATGATGGGAAAAATCAATTAACTCATGATTTATTATCCACTTATTTATTTAGTTATTCAGCAACTGTGCTGAATGCCTGCTACGTCCCAGGGATACAATATTGGCCAAGTCAGAATAAGTCCAACAATAACAGCATTTACAGTCCAGTAAAGACAGAATTAAACAAAAAAACAAATGAACAAGTTATAAATACTGTAACTGCATGCTGTGAAGTGCTAAGGTTTGCACAGTGTGGTGGACAGTGGCCCTGGCATTGAGAGGGGCTCATGGAGACTCACCCAAGTCTGTGGGTTGAGGGTGGGGACCAAGAGCTGAGTGGCTGTGAGACCACTGGGTGCATACACTGCCTCTGGGCTGCACAGCAGAGGTCTGGTTGAAGATACAAATTTGTGCACCAAGGTGGTAATTGAAGAGAAGGGCCTGGATGAGGTTATCAGAGAAGAAAGTCCCAGGAGGAAAAAGGTACTAGAGGGAGTGCTGAGAAGTTCCAGTTCTGACCAAGTAAGCCCTGTGTGCTGGGTAAGCAAACAGAGGGCCTGGAAGGCGGAAGAAGGCCTGGGAAGTAAATACCACAAAACCAGGAGTAGAGAAGGAGGAGCCTTCATCGGAAGGCTGAGTGCCCCTGCATGGTGGAGTCAGCTGAGTGTCATAACTGCATGATGACCGTAGAGGCCTCAAGACCTTAGAGAAGATTCAGGAGTGAAGTGATAAAGGCAGAAGCAAGAAGCCAGGAAATTCCCCAAACAGATTTACATTTCACTGCTCACCTCCTCCCATTGTCACCTGCAGATCTTCAGATGGGCCTCCTGCATGCTCTCTGCGGTCACTGCACTCTCTTGGGTTGGTTCTCACTCTATATCAAGTCAGGTGGAATCCTTGCTTGGTTTCAGGGAAATACAGCTCTTTTCTGTAAGTGTTTATTCTCTCAACCTCAAACCACAGGGAATAATTACTGCAATTTCACTTTAATGCCACCTCATACCAAAAGCTTTCTCTGTGTGTATGACTATTGGTTGGGTATCCACCTAGTAGTAGAAACTCTAGGTGATATGTGTATGTTGGGATTCAAGAGAGAATGGCAGAGTTTCACAGAGAAGTGACCCAGCTGACGCTCTCAGCAGCAGGCTTTGATAGTGCAAGCTGCTCACACCCTCACCTGCACTTCGTGTGGTCAACAATATTAATAGAGCATTTCTGGTGGAATGTAATTTTGTTTCATATTGTTTCAATTGTCCTTCTCCTAACGGTCAATGGGATTGAACAACTTCATTTATTCATTGGTTATTTGGAGACATCCTTTGGTGAGTTGCCTGTTCATGCTTTTTGCCCTTTTATTGACACTTTTCTTTCTTAATTTATAAATATTATTGTTATTATTACTGTAATGATTCCCTTGATAGTCATGGGTATTGCAAATGTTTTCTTTTCATTGGTGACTTTTTAAACAAACAAACTTAGTGGGGTCTTTGATCAATACAAATTCCTTTTTCTTTATAGCCAAAGCTTTTTAATCCATTTAAGATTTTTCCCTCCTATTCTAATAACATAGGAGAGTATATTTCATTATCTTCTGGTAGTGCGATAGTTTTACATCTCACATTTAGATCTACAATCCATCTATATTTTATTTATTTCACCGTGTACTTCCATTTGATCCAGCACCACTCACCCAAAAGCCTTTCCTTTTTCGTTGCACAGTGCCAGCTTTGTTTTATTTATTTATTTTATTTTATTTTATTTTTCCATAGGTTGTTGGGGTACACATGGTATTTGGTTATGTAAGTAAGTTTTTTAGTGGTGGTTTGTGAGATTTTGGTGCGCCCATAACCTGAGCAGTAGGCACTGCACTCTATTTGTAGTCTTTTATCCCTCATCCCCTTCCCATTCTTTCCCCCCAGGTCTCCAAAGTTCATTGTATCATTCTTATGCCTTTGAGACCTCATAGCTTAGTTCCCACATATCAATGAAAACATATGATGTTTAGTTTTCCATTCCTGAGTTACTTCACTTACAATAATAGTCTTTGATCTCATCCAGGTTGCTGCAGATCCCATTAATTCTTTCCTTTTTATGGCTGAATAGTATTCCATCATATATATATACTGCAGTTCCTTTATCCACTCATTGATTGATGGCCATTTGGGTTGGTTCCAAGATTTTCCAATTGCAAATTGTGCTGCTATAAAATGTGTATGCAAGTATATTTTTGATATAATGACTTCTTTTCGTCTGGGTAGACACCCAGTAATGGGATCGCTGGATCAAATGGTAGTTCTACTTTTAGTTATTTAAGGAATCTCCACACTGTTTACCATAGTGGCTGTACTATTTTACATTCCCATCAGCAGTGTAGAGGTGTTTCCTAATCACCACATCCATGCCAATATCTACTGTGTTTTAATTTTTTGATTATGTCCATTCTTGCAGGAGTAAGGTGGTATCGCATTGTAGTTTTAATTTGCATTTCCCTGATCATTAGTGATGTTGAGCATTTTTTCATATGTTTGTTGGCCATTTGTACATCTTCCTTTGAGAATTGTCTATTCATTTCCTCAGTCCACTTTTGTATTTTTCAGAATTTCAGAAATGACTCATTTATGTATTTATTTTTTATTTTACGTTAAGTTCTGGTATACATGTACAGAATGTGCATATTTGTTAGATAGGTATACATGTGCCATGGTGGTTTGCTGCACCTATCAACCTGTCATCTAGGTTTTAAGCCCTGTATACATTAGGTATTTGTCTTAATGCTCTCCCTCCCCTTGCCTCCCACCCAATGACAGATCCTGGTGTGTGATGTTTCCCTCCCTGTGTCCATGTGTTCTCACTGTTCAACTCACACTTATGAGTAAGAACATGCAGTGTTTGGTTTTCTGTTCCTGTGTTAGTTTGCTGATGGTAATGGCTTCCAGATTCGTCTATGTCCCTGCAAAGGACATAAACTCATCCTTTTTTATGGCTGCATAGTATTCCATGGTGTATATGTATCACATTTTCTTTATCCAGTCTATCATTGATGGACATTTGGGTTGGTTCCAAGTCTTTGCTATTGTGGATAGTGCTGCAGTAAACATATGTGTGCATGTGTCTTTATATTAGAATGATTTATAATCCTTTGGGTATATACTCAGTAACGAGATTGCTGGGTCAAGTGGTATTTCTGGTTCTAGATCCTTGAGGAATCGCCACACTGTCTTCCACAATGGTTGAACTAATTCACACTCCCACCAACAGTGTAAAAGCATTCCTATTTCTCCACATTCTTGCCAGCATCTGTTGATTCCTATCTTTTTAATGATTGTAATGATCACCATTCTAACTGATGTAAGGTGGTATCTCATTGTGGTTTTGATTTGGATTTCTCTAATAGCCCCCTTTTTTTTTTGAGATGGAGTCTTGCTCTGTCGCCCAGGCTACTGGAGTACAGTGGTGCGATCTCAGCTCACTGCAACTTCCACCTCCCGGGTTCAAGTGATTCTCCTGTCTCAGCCTCCCAAGTAGCTGGGACTACAGGCACACACCACCGCGCCTGGATAATTTTTTTGTATTTTTAGTAGAGACAGGGTTTCACCATGTTGGCCAGGCTGGTCTCAAACTCCTGAACTCAAATGATCCACCTGCCTTGGCCGCCCAAAGTGCTAGGATTACAGGCATGAGCTACTGCACCCAGCCAATAGCCCACTTTTTGATGGAATTGTTTGTTGTTTTCTTACTGATTTCTTTGAGTTCGTTGTAGATTCTTGGGTATTAGTCCTTTGTCAGATGTATAGATTGTGAAGATTCCACTCTGTGGGCTGTCTGTTGACTCTGCTGACTGTTCCTTTTGCTGTGCAAGAGCTCTTTAGTTAAATCCCAACTATTTATCTTTGTTTTTATTGCATTTACTTTTGGGTTCTTGGTCATTAAATCCTTGCCTAAGCCAGTGTCTAGAAGGGGTTTTCCAATGTTATCTTCTAGAATTTTTATAGTTTCAGGTCTTGTATTTAGTTTCAGGTCATTATATTTCCCTACTTTATGATTTTGTTTTCTTTGACAAAGATCAGTTGGCTGTGAGTATGTGGGTTTATTTCTGGGTTCTTTATTCTGTTCGATTGGTCTGTGTGCCTATTTTTATACCAGTACCATGTTGTTTTGGTGACTATGGCCTTATAGTATAGTTTGAAATCAGGTAGTGTGATGCCTCCAGATTTGTTCTTTTTGCTTAGTCTTGCTTTGGCTACGTGGGCTCTTTTTGGTACCAAATGAATTTTAAAATTGTTTTTTCTAATTCTGTGAAGAATGATGTTGGTATTTTGATGGGGATTGCATTGAATCTGTAGATTGCTTTTGGCAGTATGGTCAAAGACCTCTACAAGGAAAACTACAAAACACTGCTGAAAGAAATCATAAATGACACAAATTGAAATACATCACATTCTCATGGATGGATAGAATAAATATTGTGAAATGGCCAGCTTTGTTTTAGATGAAGTTTCCCTGTGTGCTTTCTTTTCTCCTGACTCTTCATCGATCTGTTTTTAATCCCTTTCACTAGTGCCACACTGTCATATGAACTTACTTTTCCAATAAATCTTGATATTGGGCAATGTATATTCTTATCTTTGCTCTTCCTCAAAATTTTTTGCTATTCTTGTTTCTTTCTGTTTCTACATAAATCTTATATTAGCATGTCTGTCATCAACACACAAATAAAAATAGCCAACTGGAATATAAGGAGAATTTTTACTCTCACAATATTACTTCCTCTAATTTGAGAAAATGGTATGTTCTTTCATTTGTTTAGGTCGTCACCCACTTCTCTCAATAATCTTTTTATAATTTTGGTATAGAGGTGTTACACATATTTAGATTGTTTTCTAGATATTTGATAACTTTTGATACTATGGTAAATAGCATGATTAAAAATTTCTTATATTAAGTGCTAGAAAATAAAATAATTTTTGTATAGTGACATTGTATTCAGCAAGCCTAACTCACCTAAATTATTAAATTTGATAATTTATAGAAAATTACTTTTATAACCATGTGTTATCTGTAAATGAAGATACATGTATTTCTTTACTTAAAACATTTTACCATGTATTTATATGCCTTATTTCACTGACAAGAAACTCCTATAAAATGTTGACTAAAATTGTTAATAATAAATATCTTTTTCTTATTCATGATCTGAAGATAGAAGTTTTTAATATATTAATATTGGATCTAAGATTTGTTTTGGGCTCCAGTGATACCATTTTTCAGAGAAAGAAGGTAATTTTTATAGCAAATTTTTACAAGGTATTTAAAAATAATTAATAAATATTGAATTTTATCAAAAATGTTTTTATCATTTACCTAATTTTTATTTTATTTTCTTAATATATAAAAATATGTTAATATAAACTCAGTTTTTATATTTATCTATTTTATATATCAAGGAACCCATTTTACTTATATTTGTTTGTCATATTTGAATCCACATTTAAGATATAAATTGTCCAGTAATCCATATTGTCAGATTTGTGAATCAAGGTAATACTGGTATCATAAAACCCATTGCAATGAATTCTATATTTTTCATTTTACCATGAAGAATTGATATAGTCTTGGTTTTGCTGAGAATTCTCAGTTTGCTGAGAATGATGGTTTCCAGCTTCATCCATGTCTCTGCAAAGGACATGAACTCATCCTTTTTTATGGTTGCATTGTATTCCATGGTGTATATGTGCCACTTTTTCTTTATCTAGAAATATGATTTGAGCCAGCAATCCCATTACTGAGTATATACTCAAAGGTTTATAAGTCATTCTACTATAAAGACACATGCACACATATGTTTATCGCAGCACTATTCACAATAGCAAAGATTTGGAACCAACCCAAGTGCCCATCAATGATAGTCTTGGTTATTTATTTAGTAAAAGTTTGGAAGAATTTATCAATGAAGCCATCTGACACATGAGTCTACATTGCAGTAAGGTTTTAATAACAGCTTCTGTGTCTTTAAGAGCTAGGTATCTATTCAAATTTTCTATTTATTCTTGTATAATTTTGATGTGTGATGTCTGCCTAGGAAATTGTTTTATTCAAATGTAAATATATTGACATAAACTCATTCATCGTTTCCTCTTATGGTAGTTTCTATTTTGTTTGCTGGTGACCACTTTATATTCCTCATATTGGCAATTCAGGAATACAATGGAAAGAAGTACATATCTTATACTTTACTTAAGAAGAAGTCTCTAGGGAATCCCCAAGACAATATGAGACAAAAACAAAAGCACAAGAGAAATATGAAGCATCTGGCATATATAGTTAGAAAACAAACACAATCCAGATCCTAGCCAGATTAACATAGAATCTCACAGTAAAGATGTTTTTGCCTCAGTTTCTATTATCTGATAATTATATCTGGCTTTTGACAAAATAAAATACTATGTGATAAGCTAGAAAGTAAGAAAAAATAGTCTAAAGAGACAAACATGAAAATGAACTCAGATATTGCATGGATTTTAGAAGTATTAGAGTATTTAAAGTAACTGAATAATATGTTAAAAGCTGTCATAGCAAAAGAAGGCAATACTCAAAATTAGTTGGACAATGTAATCAAAGAGATAAAAATGCTAAGAAAGAATGAAAAAGAAAGGCTATAAATCAGAACACTCTAATAGGAAATAATGAATGTTGTTGATGGGCTCATCAGTGGAATGGATTCTGCCAAGAGTCAGTGACTTAAAAATATGTCAATAGGAACTTCACAATAAAAATGACTGAAAATTTTACAACAATAGGAATTCGAGAACTGTAGAAAAATTTCAAAAGGTATATGTAACATATGCACAGGGGATGGAAAAAGATAATCCATACTAATACTAATCAGAATAATACTGGACTAGAGAAATTAGCTTAGGACAAAGGTGACTTCAGAACAAGAAAAAATGTTCAGAGATCGGGGCATTACATGATACGTGGTTCACTTCTTCAGTAAAGCATAGCAACAGTAAACGTGGACATACCTAACAACAGAGCATCAAATTATGTGAATCAACACTCAACAGGACTGAAAAGAGAGAGAGACGAATCTACTACTACAGCTGGAAAATTCAACACCTCCAGTTCAGTAATCAAGAGATATGGCAGGCAGAAAATCAATAAGGACATAGTTGAACAGAACTTGAACAGAACCATCAGCTTGCTCTAATTGCTGTTTATAAAATACTCCATGCAGCAATAGTAGAATACACATTGTCCCACTCACGGAACATTAACCAAGATGGCGACATGCTGGACTGTAAAGCACACCTTAAAAATATCAGAGAATACACAGCATATAAAGTATGTTCCCAGATCACACTGTAATTGACTGCAAATCAGTAGCAGAACAATAGATGGAAAGAAAAAACCTGAATATTTAGAGATTAAACAGTACACACTTAAATACACATGAGTCAAAGACCTTTCAAGAGAAATTTTAAAATATTTTGAGCTAGATAAAACTGAAAATACAACTTATCAAAATTTGAGGGATATAGTGAAAGCAGTACTTAACAGGGAAATTTATGGCATTAAGTGCACATCATAAAAAAGGAAACATATAAAATTAATAATCTAAGCTTCCGCCTTAGGAAGAAGAAAATAAGAAAGGCCAGAATGATCATCTGGACATGGATTAGGAGTAGAGAAACCAGTGTGCACCCATGTGAACCTCAACATAGATTCCATAAAGAAATATTTATAGAAATATGTATGTACATGTGTAGATTCCTGCTCTGTCACTCACTAGGGCAATGACATCCCAATTTCAAAGATTATATGAAATACCCAGGTCTTTGCTTCAATTGCTAATCTCCAGTAAAAGGAACCAGGGCTTCCCAGAGAAATTGTGGATTCTAGGAGTAGAACAGGAAATAGACAAGGTAAGCTGGGGGCACTTTGGAGTGCTAGAAAATTAATAACTGCTGAAAAAATAAAAATGAACAGCCACATTGCCGGGGCATGTCAGGGCCACAGGAGCCAAAGGAAAGATCTGGCCTGCAACTGAAACTGGAATGATTAAACAATAATGACAACAAAAAGCAGCATTGGTTCATAATCCAATTTATAAAATAAATATGAGTTTATAGTGATATGAACAAATGGGTAAATATGTAAATATTTAACAGACAAATCTCCCTTGCAGAGGAATTCCAAATAAGGTGGCAGTCTCCATGCTCTTAAAGGAGGAGAGTGTAACTCCCACTGCATAAGTGAAGGCCATGCATAGTGAATTTGCTTCAGTGAGTCTGGAAAGTGGGACAAGGGAGTAACTTGCCTGTGGAGAAACCTGGCAGAGGCCACGACCGCCAAGTGAGGTGGGTGCTACAGTGATGAGTCATTGACCAAAGGTGCCTTGACAGAGTGTAATAAAGATAGCACTTTACTTCTATGGTCTTCTTCCCCAAATTCCATAATCCCAATCGGATCATCAGAAAAACCCCAACTGAGAGAAATTCTACAGCATACCTGACCATTACTCTTCAAAACTATCCCAATCATTGAAAACAAGGAAAATCTGAGAAACTGCCAGCGGATAGGGGTCTAGGGAGATGTGACAACTGCATACACAGTGGCATCCCGGATGGGGTCCTGGAACAGAAAAATAACATCAGGTTAGCAACTAAGGCATCCCGAATAGGCTTTGGACATTATTAGTCAATGATTATTATGACGCAAACATATGATCATTATGTCAAGATAGGGAACACATCTCCCATCTTGTCAAATAATTTATTGAGCATATTTATCAATTGTTGTTAAGTCAAGTCTGTCTGATAGCCTTGTTTGATTTCTGATCTCCTGATGTTTGATTTTTATTGATATTAAATGTCCTGATTGTGCGGAGTCAGTGCAGTCTCTGTGTGTGCTTGGTGACATCTGAGTGAATGTCACACGCTTGTGTAAATGATAGCAGAGAGAATGGGGGGTCCATATGATACCATCTTTCCCCAAAGTGGAGCCATTTGACACTGGCTGGTGGCCCAGCTAGAGGCAGATGATGCCTGCTCACCAAGGACCGAGGTCACCCAGCTGTGTCTCAGCCTCTCTTTGAGGGAACCCTTCTTTCTCACTCACCCATGCTTCTAGGGGTCACATTTGGAGCTCCAGCTTCAGCCCCTTGAGATTTAAAGTCAGTTTCTGTTCCTCAGACTCGTCCCCTCTTCCCTCCAGGGCCAGCGTTCACTACATCCCTGGCCACATCAGCCCTCAGGGATTTGGTCTTTATGGGGAAAGACAGGAAGAGTATTTTAAGACATTTAAAGTAGAAAATATTTTTGGCCTTGGGGAAAAATGTTAAGGGTCTGAGAAAGAAAAATAGCCTAATTAGATTCCTGGTGACATTGACTTCCCAAAAATGGCAAATGTTGCGTGGAGAAGGAGAGAGATCTTCCCCGTGAGCCAGCAGGACAGTCATGAGGGCAATGCCTTGGAGGCATGTGAGAATTGGGTAAATTCAGTGGCACACACTAGTGATTTGAACAACAGTTTATGGCTCTCTCCCCTCTCTCTTTATTTTTTCTTTACAGTTTTATTCCCTCTGGTTCATATTATCCTTTTTTTCTAAAACTAATGTGATTTTTGAAACAACAGATGTGATAAACCAACATTAAATTACGTTCCCAAATTTAAGAAAAGGTTTAGGAGAAAGTAGTTTCATAATCAATGTTTGATAAGCACAATTATTTTTTAACATGTAAGACTTTACCAACTTAAATCTAGACAGTACATTAAAGTTTAAAAGTCCAGTTTGTAGGGGTGTATCAATAGTTAAATTAATAATTTTAAAATTTCTTTATTTCTGGCATAATATTCTATTTTTATTTTCACTTATAAAACATACTATACGTTTGTATGCAAAATGTAAGGTGCCAATACCTTTGTTGAGTTTTGAAAACATTTATTAATTAAGGAACATCAACATATAAAATTATCTTCTAAATAAACTTTATGTTGATCAATAATTTCTGGATCAAATTAACTTTAAGCAAACAAGAGAAATATGTACAGCTGTCACAGTATAATAAAATAAAAAATGATCATTTCATGGATTTGAGTCAACTGGACATTTTCTGCATAGTTTATAATGTACAGAAGCTGGAAGATGCATGTCTGATACATTTCCTGGGAATAAATGTATCATCTCTGAAACTCTTATGGCTCCAATAAGGAACTCCTCATGGTTGCTTTGGAAATTCCACTTAAGATGAAGACAGTGTTTTCTTTCCTCCAATGTGATCAGCAGTGCTGGTAATCAATACATTATTACCAGGCTTCTCATGCCTGTTTCTAACAGACTAACACTTTTCTAGGAAATGCTAAGCAACTTGAATCTCACTCCTGGAACACAAGCCCCAGCCATATGGATAACAAACATTTATCCTGTTTATATGGGAAGTCATAGGAACACATGGTTTCCTAACCAGGACATCAAGGTCTTTGGAGGAATCTTGCAGCCTGTTCCTGGCAGCTTTCTCTCCCCTCCTTCCTAGGCCAACCCTAACCCTAACCCTAACCCTAACGAGGACCCAGGTTTTTAAACAGCTAGAGTCTCCGTGTTTCTTCTGATTATGGTAGAAAATAAAGCCCAAAAAAATAAGCCTTTATAAAAACAGCATGGGTGTTTTTGTGATAGATTTCTAAGGGGTAAAAAAGGCAACTACGTTAGAAATGTGAGCCTGGCAAGAGGGAAAAGCTGGCATTAAGGACCTGCCAAAATTCTAAATTCACTTTCTTTTCTATGCCAGAGTGAATTTAAAATAGATATATAAATGTCTGTTTCATTTATATTCTTTAGTGAAAGCCAAATACATAAGCAAAATAAAATTTAAAATACTACTATTGAATAAAGAATTTGAATACCCCTATGAAGTAAGACATAATAGAAGCTTGGACCCTCCCTTAAAGTAAATGGAGGAGGCTGCAGAGAGAAGGCTCTCTCACCAAATTGCAGGAGAAAAGCATAGCCCTCCAGCAGGAAATGGAAGATGGTGATTTCAGGACATTTGTCAGCTAAAGTTTTCACAAAACAGCTTTATGCAGCCTTTTGAATAAATGCTGTGCATGGTTGTGTGAAGGAGATATTATTAGGAGGGGCTGAACTCTTAAAATGATGAAATTGAGTTTACTGTAAAGTTGTAGAGGTGAAGGAAATAAAAATAAGCTTCTATAAGTTATATGGGAAACAGAACTTCAAAATCAAGAGAAAGAGAAGTTTTAACTTCCTTACGTCTATTTGTTTAGGCTCTCTAGTGGAGGTCGGTATTAGCACACACTACGTTAAACATCTTGCACAGAAAAACAAAGTCAGCATATTCTGTCAGCCAATGGAAGAGAGTGGAGTAAACCAGTGATTACTTAACACACATGCTTTAAAACAGCAAACTATTGACGCAATGTGGAGTATATTTATGGTCTGTTACATTTTACGAAATGGTTTTATTTGATTTATTTTTAAAATACTTGTCATTTTAGCAATCTTCTGATAAGATGGTACATTTAAAAGCTCAGAACAAAACACACATGGAATGATTACCTTCTCTAGGAGCAATGAAACCCAGCCTTTCTGGTTTATTTCTTTCTTTTCACTAATGAAATCATTACAATTTTGTTAGGTCTAATTAAAAGACCAAGAAGGCATTTGGACGGAAAAAAAGGTATCAAGTTTTGTGTATTTTTGATGTGTTTTCTACAGCCAGGACCAAGTCCTTGAAAACAAACTTCAACAAAGCAGCATAATTTCATAATGAAGAAAAGAAAGAACCCCGTAAATACCTAATTCCAGACTTTCCTTTGTCATAAAGTCAGTGATCTTCATGCATACAATTTCACATACAAATTCCCATTTCTTATTTATAATCCCTTTCTATTTACTGAGGAGGTCATCTCCTGATGTGGTTGAAAATACGTTACTCTGTAACTATGATTTTTCTCATGATAAAAGTGAGATGCAGGACAAGTCAGCTATTATTATGGGATATATGCGGATGTGCTGGGATGGAGTCCTCCACAAAAAATCACGGGGGCAGAGCACGCTCTTAAGTCTCGGAGCTTCTTACCTGAGAATGTTGATTCTGAGTCACTACAGTGGCTTCCAGGAGTTGCCAACTTTTAAAAAATTGTGTTCCACTATTCCAAATCTGGTCTCCTTCTTTGTTGAGAAAGATGGAAGGCAGACGGCAAGCATGACGTGGGGGCTTCTGTAGGGGCTCTTGCTGTGGGGTAATCCTTGATAAAAGAAAAACTTCAGCCAAATTAAATTTAAAAGACTTTGAGCAATGAATGAATTGTGAACCAGACTGCCTTCTGAGCCAGAGTAGGTTCAGAGGTTCCAGCACAACCATTCGGTGGAAGAAGATTTATGGACATTGAAGGGAAAGTGACCTACAGAAAATGGAAGGGAGGGACAGAAACAGCTGGATTGGTTATAGCTCAGCATTTGCCTTATCTGTCTTATTTGAACACAGTTCGAACAGTTGACTACATTTGATTGGCCGAAACTCAGTGGCTGGCACAAGTGTAGGCTACAGTCTACGTACACCTCTCCTTGTTATGTTCATGATGTGCAGAAAAACCTTTAGGCTGAACTTAAAATCTCTAAGGAGGCAGCTTTAGGCTAAACTTGATTTAACACCCTCAAGATACCCGATTCTTTTGCAGATTTGAGTCAGGATGGCTTCAGCCTAAGGAAGAGCTTGCTGGGCTCCTCCTAAGTGTGAGAGGTTGGAGGAGCCACCACCTGGGGTGAGTGTGGGAGGTTGGAGGAGCCGCTGCCTGGGGTGAGTGTGGGAGGTTGGAGGAGCCGCTGCCTGGGGTGCACAGTGTGTAGCTGCCCTGCTGAATCTTCTTGGATACTGTTATGGGATTTGGGGGGGTGTCGTTTTTCTGGCTGGAAATCCACTCTGTGGCTGGTGGGGCCTTTGCCTGAGTTTTGCTCTGGCCTGCTGAGCTCTTTTTGCCCGCTTGGCCTGGCAGGCTGCACTTGGCTCACACTACCAGCCTCGGTAGTTGAGAGGGCAATATTGCCCACCTGTGACTCTGGGTGGCATTTTCCCGCCAGCCAGTGCTGCAGGCCCCAAAGGCTGTGGTGTCAGGAGGGCCATGGCACAGGGGCTGTGTGCGGAGGTTCTGAACCATGGAACGTGGGCAGAAGTGGTGTAGCCAGTGCTAGGCCAGGACCTTTCCACTTTCTGCACCATCTCCCAGCCCTCTTCCTCCTATAGAGACAGCCGTGGAAACCTCGGGAGGCTTGGCAGACCCAGACTGGATGTGTCCTGAGCCAAAAAAGGCATAACGCCACTGAGACCCTGGTCTGTCTCTATTTCCACAGCCAACATAAATTACCCTCAGCAAGACAACACCAGAGAGAAACGCTTCCACCACGCACAGAAATGGTTCCGGGGGCTAGAGATTGAGACAGTCCCCAGCCACTGTGCAGTTCTTCAGTACTTCAGGGCCCACAGAACAAAGGGGCTAATAGGAGGCCCAGGAGTTACTGCTGCCCCAAGGAAAGAGAGGATTATCTCCTGTGCCCAGAGGCCCCGTGGAAGTGGTCCTAACTTGCCATGTCCAGGATAAAAGCCAGGAGAGGCCCACACAAGCCCCAGGCAGGAGGGACTCCCAATGGAGCAGCCACTGAGGATGGAGAGTCCGAGAGCTGCGGGGCTGATGGGGGCCCAGGGGCAGTGCGGAGCTGCATGTGGGTTCCAGCTGCGGCCACACGACCTGTGCCAGGCACAGAGGCAACAGAGGCTGAGCACGTTCCCCTCCCACGCACCAGAGCACGTGTTCATTGCATCCGCTGTCTCCTGTTTTCCTTCTAACATTACAGGTAAATGGATGCCTCATCTGCTTATTATATTTCTGCTTATTATAACCTACCCAGTCTCAGGTATTCTAGTATATCAGCACAAAACAGATCATGACATCCTGTATCTCAAAATGCAATTGAGGTTTTCCAAATTTCTGAAAATATTTAAATAGTTTTGCTTCATGTGCTCAGTTTTCCATATTTGCTGGTTTTTTATAGGAATATTTCTCCTGAATGTGGGCACTGCCATAAATCATTCTTTATCTAACTCACTGAATTAGTGGATCCCTCCCAAGACCTCTATTTTGATTTGCTGTGTCCTACAAAGTTAGATAATCCCAAGGCCAGCATGTGTGTATTCCTAGCCAGGGATTCACCTATTTATGGAAAGTATGCTGTATTTCTTCCCAAGCCAATTTATATAGTTTTGCTTGTCATTATATCATTTAACTGAATTAAATACTAATATTCATAATTCCTGAGCAAGGACTAAATTGAATACTCTGGAAAGATTTGTAAATATTGGAGTACATTTTGATTAAAGGAAAAGCCAAAATAAATAAATAAATATGTAACTTAGAAATAGCCTACACTAAGATAATTTTTCAAGTGTCTTTAAAGTTATGTTCACTTTGAATTGGAAATCTCTGAGAAACATTTTAGGTGAAGTTTAAGTAGCAAAGACTATTCCTACCTCTAGTCATCAACCCATATCAAAGAACAGGAACAGCACCTTTATTTAAATATTGGCCAGTGAATAATTATTTGTATGGTATATATTTCTAATGTTCATTATATTGATATATCATTATTATTATTCTTTTCTGTAAGTGACTTATTGAACTCTGCTTCTAAACACTTTTTGGTATTTTGGAGAGAAGGGAGTATTAACAGGAAGGATTTATTTAATCCCTTCATCTGTATAACAAACAAAAATGACACTGGACTATGACTTCTTCTGGTCTCTAACATGGGCATTTCATCAGCTGCCATGATTTTGCCAAGTGACTATTCGGAAATAATGGCATCTATATTAGTCTGTTTTCACACTGCCATAAAGAACTACCACTACCAGAGACTAGGTAATTTATAAAGAGGTTTAACTGACCCAAAGTTCCACATGGCTGGGGAGATCTCAGAAAACACAATCATGGCAAAAAGTGAAGGGAAGCAAGGCATGTCTTACATGATGGCAGGAGTGGCAGGGGAAGTGCCACACTCTTAAACCATTGGATCTCGTGAGAATTCTCTCACTATTATGAGAACAGCATGGGGGAAATCTACCCCCATGATCCAATTACTTCCCACCAGGTCCATCTCCTGACACATGAAGATTACAATTCGACATGAAATTTGGGTGGGGACACAGAGCCAAATTATATCATTCCAACCCTGCACCCTCCCAAATCGCATGTCCTTCTCACATTGCAAAATCAACCATGCCTTCCCAACAGTCCCCTAAAGTCTTAACTAATTCCAGCATGAACTCAAAATTCCAAGTCCAAAGTCTCATCTGAGACCAGGCAATTCCCTTCTGACTATGAACCTATAAAATCAAAAACAAGTTAGTTACTTTCAAGATACAATGGGGGTACACGCATTGAGTAAATGCTTCCATTCCAAATGGGATAAATTGGCCAGAATGAAGGGGCTACAGGCCCCCATGCAAGTCCATAATCCAGCAGGGCAGTCATTAAATCTTAAAGCTCCAAAATAGTCTCCTTTGATTCCATGTCTCACATTGAGGGCATGCTGATGCAAGAGGCTGGCTTCCAAGGCCTTGAGTAGCTCCACCTCATGGCTTTGCAGGGCTCAGCCCCCACAGCTTCTCTCATGGGCTGGTATTGAGTGCCTCCAGTGTTTACAGGTACACAGTGCAAGCTGTCAGTGGATCTACCATTCTGGGGTCTGGAGGATGGTGGCCCTCTTTTCACAGCTCCACTAGGCAGGGACTCTTTGTGGGGGCTCCAAACCGACATTTCCCTTCTGCACTGACCTAGCAGACCTTCTCCATGAGGGCCCCACCCCTGCAGAAAACCTTCTGCCTGGACATCCAGGTGTTTCCATTCATCCTCTCAAATCTAGGAGTAGGTTCCTAAGCCTCAGTTTTTGCTTTCTGCAAACCAGCAGGTCCTACACCATGTGGAAGATGCCAAGGCTTGGGCTTGCACCCTCTGAAGCCATGTCGCAAGTTGTACCTTGGCTCCTTTTAGTCATGGCTACAGCTGGAGTGGCTGGGATGCAGGGCACCCTGTCCTGAGGCTGCAGAGAGCATCTGTGCCCTGGGCTTGGCCCACAAAAACACTTTTTCCTGCCAGGTCTCTGGACTTGTGATGGGAGGGACCGCTGTAAAGGTCTCCAACAGGTCCTGGAGACATTTTCCCCAATGTTTTGACTGTTAACTTTTGGTTTCTCATTACATATGCAAATTTCTGAACGTGGCAGCTTGAAATTCACCCCAGAAAATGGGTTTTTCTTTTCCTACCACATAGTGTCAGGCTGCAAATTTTTCAAATGCTCTGCTTCCCTTTTAAACATAAGCTCCAATTTTAGATGATCTCTTTGTGATGCATATGACTATATGCATTAGAAACATCCAAGTCACATCTTGAACACTTTGCTGCTTAGAAATCTCTTCTGCCAGATACCCTAAATCATCTCCCTCAAATTCAAAGTTCCACAAATCTCTAGGGCAGCAGCAAAATGTCACCAGTCTCTTTGCTAAAGCATAGCAAGAGTGACCTTTATTCTAGTTCTGTGTAAGTTCCTTATCTCCATCTGAGATCACCTCAGCCTGGACTTCATTGTCCATATCACTATGAGCATTTTGGTCAAAACCATTCAACAAGTCTCTAGGAAGTTCCAAACTTTCCCACATCTACCTGCCTTTTCCTGAGCCCTCCAAACTGTTGCAACCTCTCCCTGTAACCCAGTTCCAAAGCTGCTTCAACATTTTCGGGTATCTGTATAACAGTACCCCACTTCTGGTACCAATTTTCTGTATTAGTTTGTTTTCACCCTTTTATATAAAAAACTACCTGAGACTGGGTAATTTATAAAGAAAATAGGTTTAATTGATTCATAGTTCTGCATGGCTAGGGAGACCTCAGGAAACTTACAATCATGGTGGAAGGTGAAGGGGAAGCATGGTATGTCTTACTTACATGGCAGTGAGAGAGAGAGAGAGTAAGGTGGGAAGTGTCACACTTTTAAACCATCAGAACTCATGAGAGCTCACGAGACCAGCATGGAGGAAAGCCTCCCCCATGATCCCATCACCTCCTACCAGGTTTCTTCCCTGACATGTGGGGATTACAATTTGACATGAGATTTGGGTGAGAACACAAAGTCAAACCATATCACCACCCAAAAAATAAAGGAAGCAATACTGTGTTTTCCATCATCATTACATCAACATGTACAGAAAATATTTGTAAATAAACAGTGTTGGTCTCATGCACTAAAAAGAAGAGATAAAAAGAGGACCCCCTGAGAACAGCAAGATAAACACCTTTATCCTTAGAGGAGGCAACATTCCAGTCCTAATGGTTGGTCCTTATTAAGCATGTGCCATGTGTCTGGCACAGAGCTGGGCATTTAAGACATTTCATCCCAAATCCTTAAAACCACCCATTAAAAAGTATTATTGTCCTCATTCTCACACAGGCAAGCTGAGGCTTTGATAATCAAAACTAGTATTCTAAGGTCATTCCAAGTGAGAGAACTCATATTCATATAAAATCTTCCCTGATCTAAGGTCCATTTTCTTCTTGATATTCCACACGCTTATAAAATTTGAGAGAAGAAAATGGAAAGAGAACCAAGTTCTGTCTGTGCTCAGTGGTACCCTTGGTGGTGTTGTGGGCCATCTTGTGTCCCCAAATTTATATGTCAGGGTCCAAACCCTGCATCTCGGAAGGCTACAGTGATTGGAGATGAGGCCTTTATAAGGAACGTGAGTTAAATGAGTATATAAGGGTTGGCCTTGATCCTACGTGACTGGTGTCCTTACAAGATCAGAACACAGACACACACAGGGGGCTGACCCTGTGAGGACATGGGGAGGAGACATGTCTGCAAGCCGAGGAGAAAGGCCTCTGAAAGAACCAACCTGTCAATGTCTTAATATTAGACTGCTGGCCTCCAGAACTGTAAAGAAGTCAGTTTCTGCTGTTTAAGCTGCCCAGGCTGTAGTGTCTCCTGATAGTGGCCCAGGAAGTCACACAGTAGTGTAGAATGTCAGTCGGAGAACCACAGCAATTCCTACGGAAGGACCACTTCACATGAAGATTAGCATAAACTTCCCTGAATTCCAACATCATTACAAGACACATCAGCCTAAACTCATCAACATATGTCAAGATGTGAATTTGAACCGAAGAGAAATGTACACTGGGCAGGTTAAATCCTGTCAGCTTCATTCTCTGTGTGTGTGCAAATTTCTGAACACTAATTTTTATGTCAGAGAAACTGCCCTAACAATCAATGAACTCCAAAGGCTGATCTGCATATTAAAGGATCAGGAATAATCCCCTGCTGATTTTGGCTTCTCATCTCAAACAGGCATTTCATACTTCTACCATCCATCCTGGGGACTTCTGTCTCTCTGTGATGCCAAGAGAACAGCAGGTACCCCTAAGTGAACACAGGGTAAACCATAGCCAGCAGGGTAGCCTGGGCCTATTAATTCAGTAAGAATGAGCTATAATTGCTTTAAGTGGAACTGGAAATGTCACTGCCATTTAACAACTGCATTTAAAATTATGCTTGAGTGAGCTATAGTGCATTACAAACAAGTAGGATGGTAAACCCCAGTAATCATTGTCCAGAGCCTGGGACACCCACAAGTCTTCCCTACCTGCCCTGAATTGTCAGAGAAAATAAAAGTGGCTGCCTTGAAGGTAGCCAGAGGCCTCAAGGTCATAGGAGAGCAGAGATTTGCCCCTGCTGGCTCTCTGAGAGGGTTGCCATAGAAACAGGAGGAAAGATGAGTCCAGCCTGTATAGGCTGGGCACAGCCAGATGGCCAGGCATAGAACAGACACAGGCAGGAAGTTGCAAACCTTGCCTTCATGTCCCTAGTGTGAGCCATTTTCAGTGATCAGAAAAGTTGCTTTGGAGTCCTTGATGTTTCTAACCCATTGTATTAGTCCATTCCCATGCTGCTATAAAGAACTGCTCAAGACGTGGTTATTTATAAAGAAAAGAGCTTTAATTGACTCACAGTTCCTCAGGAATGGGGAGGCCACAGGAAACTTACAATCATGGCAGAAGGGGAAGCAAACACGTCCTTCTTTACATGGTGGCAGCAAGGAGAAGTGCCCAGCAAAAGTGGGAAAAGCCCCTTATAAAGCCATCAGATCTCATGAGAACTCACTATCAGGAGAACAGCATGAGGGTAACTGGCCCCATGATTAAATTACCACCTATGGTGTCCCTCCCATGACACATGGGGATTATGGGAGCTACAATTTGAGATTTGGGTAGGGACACAGACAAACCGTTTCACTGATTAAGGAGGGTTAGAATAAAAATGCTATGAACAAACATCCTGGAATTTCTGGAGGCATTAATTCAGAGGTTGAAAGGCCATATTTGGGCAAAACCCTCAGATATTGCCTCCTCAGTGTGTTACTTTTGGAGAGAAATGATTATTTCCTAATAATTTCCTAATATACAAAAGAATTTTCTAATTAGAGGAAAAGGGAGGGATAGCTTTTTTTGGGTAGGGAAGGGCACGTCAGGGAAGAATGCATCTGAGTGGTGGTGAAAATCATACCAGCTTTGGAATTGGCCAAGTCAGACACCAAACCACGCTTCCAGCGCTCATGAGCTATTATGTCCTTTCAGGCAAAGGATGCTACTTCTGAGCCTCAGTTTCCTCATGTGAGTAGAATAACCTCTCCCATAGGGCAGCATAGAAGCATTTAGGGAATGTGTCCATCTCTGGGTATCTGTTTCCCATGGTGGCCAAGTCAGCCCGTCTAATGTCACTCTCCTGCAGGGGAAATCTATAGACAAAGAACAAATATAAAATTAACTCCCTAAAGGCAGTGAATGGGGATGAAAAGCATGGATTATGGAAGGGGAGTGTGATGTGTGGAAGAAACAAAGGGAAAGAGGGTTTTTATGGTTTTTAGCTTAGGGGTGAGTCTGACGCCATGCAATGCAGAGTTGCCAAAACACTAACAGAAAACCCTTGGTCTTTCCCTCCTGAAGAAACTGGGAACATGCCTGCTAAAAATTGAGAAGGAAGGGGAGAATCAGAGACAGAGAACCCCAAATTCTGTGTATAACTTCTGCCCAGAACTCAGTTGACATCTGAACCTTGAATGTGTGACGCAAACTCCACGAAACACAAGGATAAAAGAACCAAACTGAGAATTCAGCTGCGGTTCAACAGGCATAGTTTGCAGTTCGTCAAACCAACTTAATGGCCCCATCACACACACACACACACACACACACACACACACACACACACACACACACACACACACACACAAATGGAAAAAATAACGGAGCCTAGACTCTCCACGACATGACATTTACAATGCCCAACAAGTCATGCTAAATGATCCACAATTGCAGAACCAGGGAAGTGCGGCCCACTCTAGCGAACAGACACACTCAGAATCAGAACAATCCCCTTACTGTGCTCAGAGGTGGAGCTTCCTGCTGTATCCCTGCTCAGTGACGGGAATTAGGGCCTGCACCCACCGCCAGAATGAATCCAGCCTTGCCGCGATTTTACAGCTGCCGCGAAGGACAGTTCTGCAATCGTGGGAAGTCTAATGTTCAGTCTTCACCTAATAAAGGAAAAAAAAGAATGAGAGAAAAAAAATGAAGAAATCATGCTAAAATTTAACAATATAAATTCACACAATCAAGAAATTTATCAAACACAAGCAACATGAATACAAAGAAAACTAATTCTAGGCACATCGTAGTAAAACTGCTGAAACCAAGATAAAGACAATATTCTGAAAACAGAAAAATGACACAATATCCGTGGGAAAATGAGGATTAGAAACATCACTGCTTTTCTACAACAAACTATGGCAGACAGAAGGCTGTGGAATATCTCTCACGTGCTGAAAGAAAAGAAAGAAAAACAGTATTCAATGACAATTCACAGCACAACTATCTTTTTAAATGAAGACAAAACAAGATCATTTTTCATATGAAGCCAATTCATCCCCCACAGAACTGAACTGCATGGGATGCTAACTTCAGTCTGAGAGGAAATGATACCACCTAAGAATGTTCAGAAAGGAATGAGAGCTTTGGAAATGATAAATTAAGCATTACTGTCAAATGCTTTATTGTAAACCTCATTGTATAAACTGATAGAGCAACCAGATTACACCTTAAGGTCAAACTGGTGCAGCCCAGAGGCACAGAGGGAGGAACCAGGAACCCCCACAGAAGCCGCCGGGGGTCCTGGACCCAGAGGCACAAAGGGAGGAACCAGGAACCAGGAACCCGCATAGAAGCCCCCTGGGGTCCTGGACCCAACCCGTGAGGTCGGTGTCCTGCAGGCTGTTGCTGAGCTTGGCAAGTTCAATGGGGATAAATGGAGAACACAGTGGTGGAGATCAGGGCACTTCTATGGCCTGATTTGCATCCAAGACTCCGAAACTGAAGGCGCCCAGAGTCCGGCTCTCAGGGATCTCAGGGATCTATATTATTGACCATGATGTCTTCAGGAATGAAACCTCCGGGCTCACATAATTATTTGGGTGTGCTACAGTGTTTAAACCTTTCCTGAGATGCACCCTGCCATCCCCCAGGGTCCAACCCTCCTGGGCTTCCTGGCACTGTCTGAGCTGTCACCAGCCCAGGGGTCTGGCACCCCCCTGGCATGGGGTTATAGAGGCCAGGTCCAGGGGATCCTGCCCATGTCGGCCTGGCTGTGGCTCCTCCCAATACCAGAGCAGACATTCCCGGTCACTTGCAGTGTCCCCTGGTCCTGGACCACTAACCCCCAAGCACTTGCTATTGCAGTAGAAGGACCAAATTAGTGACCCTGGAGCTAGGACCCCGACTACCATCACCAAAACACAGACCATGCAACACTTGACTTCCACAACGTGGAAAACACAAGCCGTGGTGAATTCGTGGCGGTGCCCACCTGGCCCCGATTCCAGGGGGACATCTGCACAGATACTGGTCCTCATGGCCCTGGGCACCTGGGACGGGGGCCCTGATTCCGCAGCCTCACTGTGGAGGACAATAGCGACCCTGGCCTGCAGGGTCTCTGCATGGTGTTGGGTGCAGTCCCAGGTAGAGCCCGCGAAGCCTCCGGTGCTCCGGGCTCCTCTTCCTGGGGAAGCAGGTCCTGACTCACTCTGGATAGTGAGTGAGGGCTCAAGGGCCCAGGTGATGGCCTGGACACTTCCTGACCGACTATCAACACTAGGGACAGGGCCTGTGTTGTGTGCCCACCTGGGTGCTGGCCTTCCTCCCAACTGCACCAGTGGACGCATGCGGGTCACGCAGCTGGTTCGCAGGACAGGCGCAGGTGCCACACCTGGTGTGCAGGTGGGTAGAGGCCACACAGACCCTGGGCAGCTGACGGCGCATGTCAGCTTGACCCTGAAGGTCGCGGAATGAGCATCACAATGTGAAGCAGAACGTCGAGGGCACCACCTGCTTCTGCACTGAATGCAGGAAGGGTCCCCAGGCAGAGATCCTGTGACCCTGACCCTGAAGGGCTGCTCAGGAGCCGGCATGAAGATGGAAGAGTTGCTGACGGGAGGTGGTGGAGATACAGACACTGGGGTCTCGAGGGAGCTGCTGTGAGGGTGCCTGTGGGATATCTGTGCCCCTCAGAGTTCCCTGAGGAGGGGGCTCTTCCTAGACAGACACCCCTCCCAAGGCTGCCTCTGGGTCACAGGACACAGACCTGGTCTTGGTGCCTCTCCTTTCCTCCACAACTCCGCATTGCTCCCACAGCAGTGGGCAGCTCTCCCCTGTGGTCTCTCCATCTAAACAATCAGCTGCCTGCTGGGCCCTGAGCAACACAGAGAGCAAGAGAGCTATCAAGTACTGGCTTTAATTTGTAGAATACATTACAGCTCACAAATGTATTTTACCCATTAATAAAGCTCTTGAAAACCAATTGTATGTGGATTAAATATAAGTGAATCAACTTGTGAAGCTATTTTAGAAATAAACAAAATTGGGCCAGGCGTGGTGGCTCACACCTGTAATCCCAGCACTTTGGGAGGCCAAGACAGGCAGATCACCTGAGGTCAGGAGTTCGAGACCAGCCTGGCCAACATGGTGAAACCCCATGTCGACTAAAAATACAAAATTAGCCCGGTGTGGTGGCACATGCCTGTGATCCCAGCTACTTGAGAGGCTGAGGCAGGGAGAATCGCCTGAATCCGGGAGGCAGAGGTTGCAGTGAGCCGAGACCCTGCTATTGCACTCCAGCCTAGGCAACAAGAGCAAAGCGCAAAAAAAAGAAAAAAGGAAAAAAAAAAAAAGGAAAGGAAAGGGAAAGGAAAGCGAAGGAAGGGGAAGGGGAAGGGAAAAGGCAAGGCAAGGCAACGAAATAAATAAAATTGAGTCTTCTTTATTCCGATCACAGATTCATTCAGTCCTTTCTGAAAGCACAAAATTCCAGGTAAATGGAATAGAGTCCACGTCAGCATTCACATACCAACACAGACAGTAGGCCATGTTCTAGTGGCCACATTAAAATAGTAAAGAGAAAAAGATTAATTTTATTGATATACTTTATTTGGTCCAGTATGTCCAAAATATTAATTTCAACATGTAAGCAAAATAACACAATTGTTGATAATATATTTTACATTTTGGTACAAAGTCTTTGAAAGATGGTGTATGTTTGAAATTAAAGCACATCTCAGATTGGCGACATTTCACAAGCTTCACGTCTAAATGTCCGGCAGCCTACCGTTGTTCAGAACAGCGGGGCAGGAGAAATGTGGAAGATGAATGTCCTGGGACAGAGAGTGAAGCTGCTGAGGGGCAGAGTTTTAACAATTTTGGAAGCGTGGGTGCCAGGGCGCACATGTGAAAGATCTGGGAGGGGAGGCTGAGGGGAGGATGAGGAGAAAAAATCCCAGTGACCATAGATAGGCTGTGGTTAATATTAATAGCTAGAAGAGTCTGACCCAAAATTACAGAAATTACAAGAAAACAGACCCCACAAAAGAAAGGCAGGCACCAGACAGGACTGACGATGAAACTAACCCATGGAAATTAATAGAGTGATGCTTCACATAGTAACGAAATATCATCAGGGAGATACACAGTAACAGGCTGAACTGAAGAGGACAGATCTACTCCCTGTAACTGAAAGGTCCTGTTGAAAATAGCTGAACAAGCACAGGGGAGTGAAAATGGACACAGGTGAAAACTATCACACCAGCTGGTGCCTGTAATCCCAGCACTTTGGGTGGCTGAGGCGGGTGAATTACTTGAGGTGAGGAGTTCTAAACTAGCCTGGCCAACATAGTGAAACCCCGTCTCTACTAAAAGTACAAACAAAAAAAAGAAAATTAGCCAGGCGAGGTGGCGAACGCCTGTAATCCCAGCTACTCGGGAGGCTGAGGCAGGAGAATCGCTTGAACCCGGGAGGCGGAGGTTGCAGTGAGCCGAGATCGCACCATTGCACTCCAGCCTGGGCAACAGAACGAGACACCATCAAAAAAAAAAAAAAAAAAAAAAAAAAAAAAAAATGCAGGAAGGCCAAGGCCGAGATTTCCGAAACTCAGCAACAACAGACGTGATGTTTTGAGAGGAAGGTTGAGAAACACAAAAGAGAGGAAGATGCACTATCCACCTAACGGATGCTCCTGGAGTTGAATATAGGAGGAATGCCGAAAAATATCAATGAAAGAAATGTTTTCCCATAAGAAGAAACCATGACCTTCTACGCTGAAATGAAAGAATGCATGTTAAGTAGCATGAGCAGAAATGACCACACTGTGGAAAGATTTTAAGATCTGGGAGGGGTTAAAGCTATTAAAAAAAAAAAAAAAAAGTCCACCACTAGAACTATTTTTACAAACGTTAAACTAGTTCAAGAGCTAACATATGCAACGAAAGCATATACACTTAATAATTCATGATGTTAAAATAATAAAATGTTTAATTTGAAAGTCTCAAAGTTGGGTTATAAATGTTAAAGGGAAAAAAGAAATTCGCTGTAAGAAACTTAACTTTATATTTTTATATCTGTCGTTAAACAAGGAAATGGAGCTAAAAACACCTGGTAAATCTCCAAAGCGAAGAGAGATAACCCTAAGCTGATCCAGACCAAGAGTGCACTGCCCTGAGCATCCCAAGAGCAGACACCTTCCCAGGTCCTGCAGGGTCCGAGGAGTGGGCAATGTCCCCAGCTCCTGCGGGGTCTTGGGGCGGACACCGTCCTCACTGACCCTTCTAGGGAGTCCCGGGTGGGACAGAGGCTGGCGTGGCGGCACAGCGCCCCGATCCTTTGAAACAAGCCTTCCAAGCCCCACCCGCCTCCGCCTGCTCCTCTGTTAAAGCACTAAAGACGCCCTGGGCCTCCCGGCGGAGCGAGCACAAGTCCCACCGCTCGATAGTAAGTTGTCCACAGTACAGCGAACACCTGAAACTATCGCGATATCTGGAGCTAGCAAATGCCATGAAATTACCGCGAGAAGAAGGAAGCGCAGGTTTCGTGAGAAGCGCAGATCTCACGAGAGAAGATTTGGCGCCCTCCTCCGTGGATTGTGGCCAGGCCGGGTTCGGCGGTTGCTGTGAGGGCGGGCTTCTCGGCACCATGCCGTCCCCGTTCTCCGTCACCTCTTTCCCCGTCAGCATCCCAGCCGTGCTCATGGTAACTCGCGGCCTGCGTAACCACCAGTTCGGGGGAGGACGGCGGAGAGGCGTTGGGTCTGCCCCACGGAGAACCTAGCCTGCGGCCAAGAAGGCGCCCACCCTGGGCGGGGCCTGGCGGCGGAGCGCGCTCGCTGGGCGGGGTCCTGGGACCTGTGGGTGTGGCTCGGGGCGGGGCGGTGTAGCGCGCCCTGGGCGGGGTCCTGGGACCTGTGGGAAGGGGCCGGGGCCGGGCGTCGGGGCGCGAATGCTAGGCGGGGTCCTGGGCCGTTGGGCGGAACGGGGCGGGGCGGGGCCTTGGGGTGGAGCGTGCGCAGTGAGCGGGGTCCTGGGCCGTGCGCGCGGGGCTTGGGCTGGGCGCTCGTCCCGCACCGTGAGGGCGTGGCTGAGTTGTGCGGGCGGGGCGCGAGGGGCAGGGCTTTGTTCGTGTGGGAGGTGCATGCCCGCGAGTCAGCGTCTTGCGGGCGGGGCTTGGGCCATGTGGGCGGATCCTGGCAGTGTGACTGGGCGTGCGTGGTGGAGCCTGATCGTGTGGGCGTGGCACGGAGGAACCCTGCCCCTGTGTGGGCGGGGCCTGCTCTTTGCCCGGTTGGTCTGGCAGGTCCCAGGGGAGCCCGTGCCCCGAGTGGCCGCCCAGGGGTGGCATGGGCACTCGATGGGGTCTGGGCAGAAAGTCGTGCTCCCCTCACCTCCCTGCCTCTGGTCGTCTGGTTGGTGAATTGATGCGAGCAGATGCGCTTGTGTCCTTATCTCATGGCGCGGCTCTGGAGAGGCTGCTGCGGCCCCCAGTAGAGAGCAGTGATACAGGAGTCCTGGAGGGCTGTGCGGGGCTGCAGCTTGGAAGGCAGGGCTAGTCTCATGCAGGAAGGCGCTCAAGGAGGGGATGGCAAGGGTGGAGGACTGCTGGGATTGGCATCTGAGCATCAGTTGGGGACTGGGCAGCAGTGGATCTGAGCTTGGCTACTTCAGGTCCCTGAGCCAGACACTGTCCCCAGGTACAGCAGGGTCCCGGGGAGTCCAGGAGGCGGCGGAGTGCAGCACTGTCTGGAGGGTTCAGTGTATTGCAGAGAGTTTGGAGAAAATCAAGTCGTGCCCGTGGCGATGACTCAGATTCCCCGAGGCCTTCAGTGCTAAGGAGCCTGAAATGATGATTCGTGTTTTACCTTTGGGGTTGAGCCAAGTGCATCTCTTTGAGCAATCCACTTAATGTCCTTGTCGTCACCAATTATCATCACCAAGTATTGTTATAAAGGATGGTAATTCCTTTAATTATACCCAGCTTAAAAACATGATTCTGTTCCACCAACAAAAGGGGCACGTCAGAGATGCCTTCAGTTCTGTATGCTTGAACTTTGAATTCCATGAATTATAGTTGCACTGAGGGGAGAATCCTGTTTGCATCCTCCTGGATCCTTCTCTCTTTCCTGTCCCCATGTTTCTCTGAGGCCTGGCAGTGCTCTCCGGATACCTTGCTGAGTAGCCCCAGGAAGACTCAGGAATGAGAGGCCCCTGCCCCCTGCCCTGGGAGAAGGCTGTGGGTGGGCTGTGAGCCCGGCCCTGTGGGGCAGGTCAGTGAGTGTCCGCTGGTGTGTTCCTACAGCAGACGGACTGGACTGAGCCCTGGCTCATGGGGCTGGCTGCCTTCCATGCGCTCTGCCTGCTCCTCACCTGCTTGTCCTCCCGGAGCTACAGACTACAGATCGGGCACTTTCTGTGTCTAGGTGAGTAAAACAACACAAACTCCACAACTCAGATCACTGTGTGAAATGAAACTGTGTATGGTCTGTGTCTTCAAAATATGTACATATTTTTATAAGACCTCCCAACCCTCTGTCAGGCGCCTGCTCCTAGGGCACTCCCATTTTTCTCTTGGAAGCTATAAAGGAAAGTACTTTTTGGATGTTAGAGTTGAAAGGAATCTGTTGAGTTCCTGTTACCTACCAGGGAAGTGCTGAGCACCAGCTGCACACGGGAGAGCTGGGTTTCCGGAAGTGCTGTTGTTTACACAAGATGTGTCCTTGGTGGCAGCTCTGCTCATGCACTGCTTTGAATGGGAGGAAGATTGCAAACCAGGAAAGAGAAGTTCTGTGCATAAAATAAGGCATTGCCCAACTTGGTTTCAAGGATAAGGGCTACAGAACTTAGAGAAGTTAGGGAGTTGCACAGGATGACTGAGAAAGATTATTCAGAAAAGCTGAAATCATGGCACGGGGTGTGAAGAGTGAGTAAAATGTTAACAAGAAAAGAGAGGGAGCAGGTGACGGCCTGGGGGGGCAGCAGCCTGACATGCAGATACTGAGATGGATGGAAGGTGTGGGTCAGAGGCAAAGAAACTGCCAGCTCTGTGGATCCTAAGCACTTCTGGTGCTGAGCGTTACAAACACTTGTGGGTAGAAGAGGCGAGGAGGGCCTGGAGGTCTGGCTCAGGCTCCTCTTGACTCTGGACATTGGGGAGACACCGAAGATGTTCTTGGTAGCTAAAAATAACCAATTTTAGATAACTTTAGTTAGCTGGCTGTGTGCAAACAGGAAATCCGAAGAAGAGATGATCTTAGAAAGACTGGAGAAGTGATGAGTGTTTGCATTGCAGCGGGGGCCTGCACAAGTGAGGTGCTCAGAGCAAGCTCTGTATTGAGGGTGCCCTGAGGAGTGCTGGAGTGGACCAGGTGGACAGGGCTCCTTTGCCTCCCACAGATTCCTGGGGGACACCAGCACCAGTGCTTCATCACAGACCTGTGTTGTTATCAACAGTGACAAGTGTTGTAATGGAAAAGCCAAAAACACAGTGAAACAGGAAGAGCCGCCTGATTTAAATCACACAGTCCCCTGCGAACCCAGGGGCAAAAGGTGCATAGGCAGAAGCCAGGCACTGAGATGCTGGCAGAGGGCGGGAGCGAATGCCCCACGCAGAGGCCCTGAGGCAGGCACCTCAAAGAAAGGTGACAGCTTGTCCAGCTGAGCTCCTGGATCTGAACAGCTTTGTCAGCTAGAGAACTGCACAAGGGTTTGATATTTTCTAGGATAAGGGGAAGGATGACTGCTTTCACACCGGGGTAATACTAGACACTGTGCTGCCTGCCGTTACATTTCCTGTGATTCATTTCTCAAACCAACCTAAGAGTTGGATTTTATTTGCCCATTTTTATAAATGAAGCACACAGAGGTTCTGACTCCCTCAGCTACATAGCTTATAACTAGCACCATCAAGATTCAAGGTTCAGACTCTGCTCCAGGGTGCATTTCAGGAAAAGCTGGAGAGGAGCACCTGGCAGCACCCCCTCTGCCTGCCCTCCTCCTGTGCCTACCACCCTCCCCACCCTCCCCCTGTAACCTCAGCCCTCCACACCCTCCTCCCCACACCCATGCCCGCCACCTCCTGTGTTAGCCTACCCATCTGTCTGGCTGTCCTGCTCCTCCTGCCCCTCTCTGACCTTCCTCCTCCTCCTCCCCCCGGCTCCTTCCCTTCCTCCCCCCACTCCCCTCTAGTTCTTTCCCTGTGCCTCCTTTTCCTCTGCTTTATTGAGTCCATTCCTGAAGGGAGGAAGTGGAGGGACTGCTCACCCTAACCCCTAGTTTAATCTGCTTTCTGATGTGAATCAAGAAGAATGAAAGGATTTTTACATTTTGATTTACCTTAGAAGTTAAAGCATCACATTTTTCTTAATCTGCTGAATTATATTTTATTTAATTTTATGGTAGCATGGGTCACTCTCTCATGGGTTTGAGTCCCGGCATTACCCATGAGTTAGCTGGAGACCCAGGGCCAGTCCCTAAAGTCTGTGCTCCTGGGAGCACAGAGGCCTCGCCTCGCCTCGCCCCCGCCGGCCCCTGCCCTCCCTCCTGTGCCTTTGCCTCCAGCACCCCAAAGCTGTTTGCTCCCCTCCTGTGGTCATCTCAGTCGCAGTGTCCCGAGGGCAGTCCGGGAGGTGTGAGCATGAAAAGCCCTTGGTTGTCAGCTCTGGGTCTCATGGCTGTCAGCTCCTGCTGCTGTGTGCTGTGAGGCCGATCTGTGGCTGCTGTCCCTGGGGAAATGTGTGAGGCCCAGCCATGCCTGGGTGAAGCCTGGGGCCTCGGGCAGCTCCTGCAGTGGCTCTGCAGGTGCTGACCTGAGCACGGGCTCTGACTGAGACCATAGAGCACTGGAGAACTGGAGCACTGTTGGCCTTGGTTTTCTTTATGCTAAATGGGTGAGTCCCACAAGTTGACAGTGTTAGGATGTTTACATGACCTTATGTTTAAAATTAAAGTGACATTTCTATTCATTGTTCTACTGTAAATAATGTATAACTTTATAACGAGTAATAACGGGTCATCTAAATTCTAACATGACTTGCACTTTTTTTCAGTAATCTTAGTCTACTGCGCTGAATACATCAATGAGGCGGCTGCAATGAACTGGAGGTGAGCCCATCCCTGGGCCTGTGACCCGGTCCATGCAGGGGTGTCCCTGGGAACGCCCCCACAGCCGGTGGGTCTCACGGAGGAGACAGTGAATCCTAACACGGCAGCCGCGCACACCCGTGCCCATGCGTCCAGAGTTGTGGGCTCCAGCGCGACTCTGTAAATGCTTTCCCAGCGCCAGAGCGGCCCTCTCTGAGTACGGCACTGTGGGACAATGCTGGCTGAGGCCGCTGATGGCAGAGCCAGAGAAATGACTGTGGGAATTTGAGCTGCAAAATAGAAACTGCAGCATTTTAGAGAACGTGGTCTGTGCTGGCCTCAGCCGTGCCCTCCCCCTTGGACTGCAGGGTGGCTGTTCCATGGCGAGTCTGGACCTGAGTAGGGGGCTTCTGGGTGGTCTGAGGCACCTGCCTGCCTCACCCCCAGCCCCACGTCCTCATGTCGGGGGCACCGCTGGCAGCCCTGGCCCTGCATCCTCTGCCCCCTCCTCTACCCCTGGTTTCCTCCCAGGGGGACTCAGAACCCAGCACCTGCCCAGGGTGAACCACACAGCCTCTGTCAGATGAGACCCACCTGGCCTCACTGACTGTTTTGAGTGACCTGTGAGCTAAAAATGGTTTTTACATTTTAAAATATAAAACAGAAAAAAAGTAAAACTGCCAGACTCTGAGCAGGAAGTAGCTGAGACTGTGGCCTCGTGGCCCATAAGCCCTGAACGCTGATCCTGGGCCCTCACCGAAGGGTTGCTGAGCACTCCCTGCAATCCTTTGCTTAGACCCTGCCCGGGTTTCCAAACCCCCCCCTGACTGGGCCTCCTCCTGCCCTGCTCCTGCCTGCCCAGCCTTTCCCTCCAGGACAGCATTCCTGCAGCCACACGTGCTGTCTCTCTCCTCCCTCTTCCCTGCCCCCTCCTTAACCATAAGCGGCTCCCTGGGGACCCCGCCTCTCCTCCTAGACGCAGGGCCTCCACGTGGTTCAGTCCCAGGAGTGGTGCTCAGTCCCTGGTTACCCTGACCTTGTCCAGAGGCCAGCACAGTGTCCTCGTCCTCCCTGAAGCCCTCCCACACCCAGCTGCAGCCTGCAGCACCTTCCTGGCCCCTCCCTTCCCTCTGGCTGCAGCCTCCTGTCTTAGTGCTTCTCTGCGATCTCCTGGTTTCAAAAGTGCTGGGTTTCCTGCCTGTCCCACCTGTTGGACTGGGCACCAGGACGTCTAACAAACATCTCAAAATTCACACTCAGGACAACTGCTGTGCTCCTCTCTGTTTATAGGGGCGGCTTCTCCCTCCAGCTTCTTAGACCAGAGACGTAATAGGGCATTTTTCAGGAAGCTCCATCCCTCCACCTTTAAGGTCACCACGAGCCCAGTGTGTCCCATGCCCTTCACCCCACCCTCGCTGACCTGCTGCTGACATGCAGCAGTCCCTAAGCCATCCCGCTACTGCCCAGCCTCTTGGGTGTCTTGGGGAAGTGTGGGCCTCAGAGCCAAGCACTGCCCCTCAGAACATTCCAGAGTGTCCTCAGGTCACCTAGAGTAAACACGGAGTCCTGCAGTGATGCCCTGCGGCCTCCTGCCAGCTCTGTCCCAGCCGCTCATGGCTGTGCCTACTAGTCCATGAGGCCCCCTCACCCCCGACAGGCTTCACGTTTCTCTAGAGCAGCACTCGCCAAATGCTCAGACTGGCTGCCTCTTACTTTGGGGCCTCCCATGGTCTAGAGCATAAGCGCCAGCAAGGCGGGAGCCCTGTGGTCACGAGGCGCTGACCCACTGCCCACCATTACTAGCTTTGTTCACGGCATTTCCGTGCTGGCTGCTTCGAGAATCATCAACACCCACGTGCAGATCCTCTGCCCTCCCTGGCGCTGTGCCTTGTGCAGGTGGAGATCTTCCACCTTCCTCAGTCTCTTTTGCCAAAGAGGCACTGGCACTGACAGAAGAGGACTGCTGTGAGAACCAAAGGGATGGAAGGGTCCGGCACCACTCCTTCCCAGTGCAGCGGTGGAGCAGATGCAGCTGCTGTCCCTTTCTCATTACGGGGATTGTCGACGTTTACTCTGTAGGTTTTAAGGATTTCAAGTCGTCAGTGTCTTCCAGCTGAGGTCAGATGTGCCGCTGACCCAGAGGGGCTACGGGGTGGTGTCTCCCTGCTGTGGGAGGCCTCGGGGTCTTGCCCGTGCTGCTGAGTGGTGTCTCCCTGTCCTGTGACCCAGTGTGTTTTCTTCATAATGAGCATTGGGGACAGCGCAGTGGAGATGACGGCTGCTCCCAAGGGTGGGCCCAGTGAGGGGGTTGCCCCCACCTCAGTCCACATCAGCTCTCTCCAGAGTCTTAGTTAAATACACAGTGTCACTAGAACTTTTTGGCTGTATTGCCTAGTAATTTTTTGTTTTTGTTTTTTAAACAGATTATTTTCAAAGTACCAGTATTTCGACTCCAGGGGGATGTTCATTTCTATAGTGTTTTCAGCCCCGCTGCTGGTGAATGCCATGATCATTGTGGTATGTAGATGACACATGCAGTTGTCGTTCTTCCTGTGTCTGTTGTTCAAATCTAAACAGTGTTTCAAACAATTGTGTTTAGATTATGTGGGTATGGAAGACTCTGAATGTGATGACTGACCTGAAGAATGTACAAGAGAGAAGAAAGGAGAAGAAAAGGAGAAGGAAAGAAGACTGAGGGGCAGCAGCTGCTTGGAGTTTGCGTCCTTCCCGTCCACCCTGGCTGCTCCCAGTGCTACAGTGCACATGGGTGGGCATCCTTCCAGCTGACTCCGTGGTTTGAAAAACTGTTGTTTTATTTAAATATCCACAGTGGTAGGCACACACTGAAGTCGGCTTTTCAGCCAGCACTGAATGTATCCATCAGGACATGCGTCTTCAGGCGCCTGATCTTTGTAGTCAGGCTGTGGGAATGGTCTGCAGAGCTTCACAACTGGGAGTTTGATTTGAAGAAGTCCATGTCATATGTGTAACTAGTACTAATTATAAATATAAAATACACAATATAAAATACGAAATTCAAAAATAAACAGTGCTACCCTGTGCATGGGCGCCGTGCCCGCCTCCTCGTGCTGTGTTTTCTAGTGTGTGCCGCGACCCGCAGTCCTGTGCATGGGCGCCGTGCCCGCCTCCTGGTGCTGTGTTTTCTAGCGCGGGCCGCGGCTCGCAGTCCTGTGCATGGGCGCCGTGCCCGCCTCCTCGTGCTGTGTTTTCTAGCGCGTGCCGCGGCTCGCAGTCCTGTGCATGGGCGCCGTGCCCGCCTCCTCGTGCTGTGTTTTCTAGCGCATGCCATGGTTCGCAGTGAGGGTGTTTTCACCTTCCAGGAAATGGGGCAAAATTTGGAGACGGTTGTCATTGGAGGAGGTGGTGGTGCTGGCTTCTCCTGTGGATCCCAGGGGTGATGCAGAAAATCCTGTGTGCCTGGGTCAGCTGCACCACAGACAATGACTTGACATGAAATGTCAGCAGCGGTGGGGCGGAGAGACCTTGGAAGGAAGCTCTTGGAAAATATGTTGTATCTCAGTTTGATGAACCAATTCTCAAGAGGCTAGGCCCTCTCTAACAAAGTTACGGGCTGCTTTACTGAAGACAGAATGGAAGCCCTGAAGTCAGCACTCCATGGAGAAGCGTGTCTTTTATAATGTCCTGGTGTTCTGTTGATTTAGGTGCCTGAGAACACAATGCTCCCAGTTCTGTTAGGACAGGCATACTGTCACTTTGCAATATGCACTTTGTAAAATAGCTCCTGCCCAGTGGCTCTTGGTTCCTAACAAATCTGGACCTGTGGTTTAAGAATGAAAGGTGGTTGGAGACCTAGATATTTAAAAATAGGTGTTCAATAAGGGAATACTCACTGTGCATTGTATCTGATAGCATACCTAATTGTGCATTTCTGAAAGTTACTGATTCAAAATGTAATTGGCACAGTTATCTTTGAGTAGACAAGCCTGGGAAGAGAATGTTGAGGTGTGGAGGTGACCAGCCAAGTTCGTGCCCCTCTCAGGCCTTTGTGGCTGAGAGGTGGGACAGAAAGATGATTAAGGTGATGTGTCCTCCCCGCCGGCATTGTCCAGGGCCACTGTGTAGATATTTGACTTTGCTGACAGAAAAGAAACCAGGGAGTTTCTAGAGACTATGCATTTTTAGTATAACATTTTCACCCTCTGATACGGTTTGGCTCTTGTGTGCCCATCCAAATCTCGTCTCAAATTGTAATCCCCATGTGTCAGGGGAGGGACCGGATGGGAGGTGATTGCATCATGGGAGTGGTTTCCCCCATGCTGTTCTCATGATAGAGAGGGAGTTCTCACAAGATCTGATGGTTTTAAACATGGCAGGTTCCCCTGCTGTCACTGTCTCTCCTGCCGCCTTGTGAAGAAGGTGCTTGCTTCTCCCTCTGCCATGACCATAAGTTTCCTGAGGCCTCCCCAGCCATGTGGAACTGAATCGGTTAAACCTCTTCTTTATAAATTACCAGGTCTCAGGTAGTATCTTTATAGCAGTGTGAGAACAGACTAATACACCATCTGTATGTTATTTGGACTTCATACGGGGCCATGTGATTGGATCTCAGTTTGCCTGCGATAAAGTAGTATAACAGTATTGCTCGCTTTGCATGAATTTGATGCTGATGACATGTCAGTGTGAAACCATGACCTGTGTTCTTTGGTTTTCACTCAGTTTATGTGTGTGTGTGTGTGTCTGTGTTTTGGAACAGTTATATTTTGTTTTTATAAAAACAACCTTCATTTTATTTTTAACTGTGTAGTAAGTTTCTATTCAGTGCCTTAAAGTGCATTGTTAACAATTGTCTTGATATGTTGTCCTCATGTTAGGGAAAGGCGTAGAAGCCAAAATGATCAGCAGTTGAGTAATTTATGAAAGCACAGGTGCAATCCCACTTTAAAGCCCTGGGGGTTGCACAGAGCACACTGAGTTCAGGCTCCATAAATGTGGCTTACTCACTGGAGGGCTTCATCTGTTTAAGTAGAACAAATGTTTTTACTGATAAAGTACAGGAAAGGAGGTTTGTGATAAAAATATATTTTTCACATTCCAAACCTGTGACACCTTACGTTTATCGATTGCTATGCAATAAAATATATCTTTAATAATATGTAGTATGCTTTCTTCCCCCCACTAAAAAAAATGGTATTTATTTTGCTTCTTACTGTAACTGGAAACAGGAGCACCTGGAACTTAGCTCCACCTTTGTCTGGCAGGTCCCTTTGCTGCAGCATCTGGTGCTGAGTTTCAACAAACAAATGCAATTGGGTCATTGCCAGTAGAAGAAAGTCCCCTTGCACAGATACTGCATATCAAATCAGAAAGCAATATGCAGCCTGAATGGCTAGCTTCTGTGAGAAATAAAGTACAAGGAAATGTTAACATGTTCTCTCCCTTTACAAAATAATAAATGTTAAAAAGGGGGGGTGGGGGCCGGGGGTGAAATGCAGGGTAAGGAGCTACAGTGATGCTGAGTGGGATGCTTAAAGACAGATGAGAATTGCCATCAGAGATGTACCGGTCAGGTCCAAGCATCTTTTCTCTGGAAAAGAACTTCAGGCTTCCTTGTCTGGACTTCGGTGGAGCACCCTTCTTCTTTGACCACGTTAACCAGAACACGTTTTCAGTGCAGCCTTCCCCTCTACTGAAGCCATGAGAACCAGTGACTAGCCATGCTAATAGACATCCTCATCTAAAGAGTAAAGAAGTTATCTGCGTCATAGGTTTTATCTACACCCTCTCATGCTGAAAGAATGGTTATTATAAAATGCATTCTGATTTCAAGAATGTGAAGAAAGTCACGGATCCCCAGGACCACCCCGTGTCCTGGAGGGACTCCCAGACTCAGAGCAGCTCTCACAGTCAGGGCTATGGTTACCCCTGTGAAAAGCTACAGATTAAGATCGGCACAGGGAATGGAGCCCAGGAGAGACCAGGCACAGGTTCCCTGGCATCCTCTCCAGTGGCCCCCACGGCTGCACACAATCCTCCCAGCAGCCGTGGGACCACACGCAGGACCTGGGTCCAAGAGGGAAGCCTCCTGGACCTGTGTGCCGTGTTTGTGGGTGTGTAGGCGTGGAGTCCTGGGTTGTCGTCCCAACAAGGAGCCACATAGGGACAGGAAGTTACTGAGCATCTATGTCATCTGAGTGGTGCCAGGGCAGTGCTTGCTGGAAGATCATGGCACAGCAGCGGGGACCCTTTCACAGCTGACGGGCACTTGCATTTGAGGCAAATGAGAGGAAGAGGGAACCCTGCAGGGATCGGGGTCTGCCAGGCAGGGAAACAGCCACTGGACAGGCCCTCAGCTGGGACCCTGTGGCCTGTTCAGGACAGAAGGACACCCGGCAAGCCCAGCAGGACATGAGTGCAGAGAGATGGTGGCAGGGCACCACACAGGCCCCAGCCCTGCAGAGGCTCCAGCTCCTGAGCAGCATGGGCATCGTCCAGGGTCCACCCAGGAGACAGGCCAGGAACGCCTGTGCTTTCAGCTCGTGGCTCCGGCTGCCATGTGGAGAATGGACACGGAAGGTAGGAGGCACTGACAGGCTGGGCCAGAGGGAGGTGGAGGGGGTGGTCAGGGCTCTGTGTCCATGATCTCGCCCTTGGTGAGGAGACAAGGCATGGAGCTTCCCTGAGCCCCTCGTCTGTGGAGGGAAGAAGATTGCTGTTTGTTTCCCTTTGGGGATCAGGGAAGGGAGGGCTGGCAGGGAGGGGATCCTGTGCTTGGTAGGAGGCAGGTGAGCCTGAGAGGTCGTCCACACCAACAAGTCGTGACCTGGGGAGGACGGGGCTGTACTCCACATGCAGGGTTCTCGGAGGCAGGAAGGGAGCGAGCCAGGGCAGAGAAGAGGACCCAGGGGGTGGCGCTGCCCAGTCCCGGGACGGTGCAAAGATGTCTCCAAGCCCTGGTCACTGCATGGGGACAGCAGGATGGGGCAGCAAGACCCAGGCAGGCTGTGGGTGCCACACCTTGGTGGCAGCTTGTTCCGAGTGGGGATGGAACAATTGATAGCAAGCATCATCGGCCCGGTCAGCTTTCTAGCTCCTCTTCCTCTGATGTTCCAGTTTCACAGCAGCCTGTACAGTTAGATTTTTCCTCACTTTGGGGGAAGCTGCAGCTATTATAGTCTCTGAATCATGTTGTCATTAGAAATTGCACAACACCTATGACAGGGTGGGCACTGACTGGCACAGACCCTGGCACAGGCCCTGAAAGGAACTCGAGGACAGAGAAGGACCTCCCTGCAGCCTTCAGGCAGCCAAGCTGAGGCCTAAGGCCAAGCATGTGGCCATAGGGTCTGCTCTGTAAGCCTCAGGGCCACCGCCTTTTGTTCCAGTCCTGGGCCAAAACAGCCTTCAACAGCTCCTGCTCCATCTGAGTGAGCTGGATGTCAGCCTCTGTGGGTCCTGTTGTGTGTGGGGTTGATGCTCCATCTCAGTGAGCTGAGCTTCTGCATCTCTGGGTTCTGTTGTACGTGGGGTTAATGCTTCATCTGACTGAGCTGGGCATCTGCATATCTGGGTTTTGTTGTGGGTGGGGTTAATAATCCATCTGAGTGAGTGGGGCATCTGCCTCCATGAGTTCTGTTGTATGTGGGGGTGATGCTCCATCTGACTGAGCTGGGCGTCTGCATCTCTGGGTTTATGGATCCCTAAGCCCAGCTCACTCACAGCCTGGCCCTCCATGTGCTGCTCATTCCTCTGCCTCACCCATGTTTGGTTATATCTTATATAACATTGGATGTCTTTGTAACAGGAGAAAATTGTTAAATGTCAATTCATTGCCCCTTTTTTTCTGTAAATCTATCTTCTATAAAGTAATGTAGTCCCTTTTATCATGATGCTATTTCACTATATAAAATTATTTTCAGTGCCTGCATAGTAAACAAATTGTAGGGGTATAGGCTACATTTACTTAACCAGTTACTGATATTAGAGATGCAGCATTTTTCTAATTGTTTTCCTGACATCAGCAACACAGAAATCTCCAACCTCACATGCCTGCATTTCCACTATTGACTCGGAATAAATTCTT